TTAAAAAAAGGCTTTTATACAGTTTGTTTCTTAGGTGCATGTCTTTAAAATACATCTAGACAAACTGCTGTGACTGGAGTGACCTGCTGGGGGTCTGAACTCAGGCCTTTGAGTGGGATGTTTCAGAGCAGACTGCAGACTCTGCAGTTTCATCTTGTAGACGGAAATATCAGCAAGAATTTTATTTCAGAATATGTATTTCATGCATTTCTCACGGCGGTTATTGCTCCCATTTCACTACAAAAATAAGACGTATAAAATAACCTTTGATTCAGGTAGTTACGTAACTTAATAGCAAATGCATACACACTATACATTTTGAGTTATAGTTCTTAAGTATTGTGCCATGTACAACCTTTTTAACTTAATTGTCACAACATCAACTCAAATGGAGGCGGATCCTGTGTTATCACCTGTCATGTCTGAGTCATAATAAACCGTATATGGTGCATATTCCTAAATAAATGTGTTTAACCAAATTACCACAAAAAGGGGTCAATAGGGGCATACTGGTGTATTGTAATGTTTTTAGTTTGTTGGGTTTGTATAGTTTTATGCAGAGCGATCAAATTGATAAAAAAAAACTATCTTTTCTATCTCTGCTGCTTTTTCTTGCGTTCGATCTATACGAGTAATTCTATAAAACTGTCCTGGTGTGACAGCAGATCCCCAGAGCTGTTACTGTCGGGTGCTGCAAAGCAAAATGCTTGACGCAGGAGAAATACTACTTTAAATCTGCTCTCCCAAACTGTGGCAAGCGAATGACGAGACATCAGGAGACCAGCGGCTGTAGAGTCGCTCTGTCCACACACTGACCAGCTCCAGTTCTGTCCATGATTAGTCTCATTAGCTGGAGTGGCCGCACATTCCTCCTGCTGGAGGAGTGACTGACTGAGTCCCTCTGTCTACAGCCTGGACTGAGGGGCTTTAAAACCTTCAAGGGCTTTCCAGACAAAAACAGTCTGCTCACAGTCAGTCAGCTGACCCTGTAGACATTATGGGGGTGGTAAAGTTATTATTTGTCATGCATTGTTTTTTGTTTTGTGTGTATATGAGAGGTTTGTATTGTGGCGATCAAAAATTGTTTGACATTACTTCTGATAATTCATTTATCAATTATATTTCCTGTGAGAGAAAAGAGAAAGTTTTATATTGATCATTCCCTCTTCTTATTCTATTATGCACCTGCACATATTTAGAAATGGATACACAAAAACATAAAAAAAAATGTAGGAGTCCTTTATCAAGACACAAATGCCAAATGTTTAATGGTTCCAGAAAATAGCAAATTAAATATCTTTGGGTTTTGGACTGTGGCAGTATCCCCCCCTCCTGCCCCCCACATAGTGTCATGGACTCATCATCCACCCTTCATTAGTTGTTCATGTCCATTTATCTTCCATTAGAACCAACTGGAAGCATATGGAAGATTGTCAGACCTATAGAACGACTGAAGGCTTTAAGATGCTAAGGAGGGGTCCTGGCCTCCCTGTCAGCCCTCTGACCCCCTACCCTCTTCTCCCATTCTCCCCCGTCTAATGTTTGAGGCCCTGGTCACTATGACAACAAAAGGGAGACCAGGACTGCATGATCATGACAGGGGCTTTAAAAACAGTTTGAGACCCCTCTGCCTTCCTTAGTAGAGTCCCTGCATAGTTTCAGTCATCTTGAGTCCAGAGGGATTAGAGCTTATTCACTTATTTCTAGAGAGAGTTGGAGGACAACAGAATGCCCCCCCCCCCCCATTAGAAATACTGATCTGAGGAAAGCAACAGCAAGGAGAAGCCTCTCTCAAGAAGGCGCAAGTTGCAGTTTACATAACCTAACGTATCTTATTTGAACCAGAGGTTTGTGTCTTCACAGTTTGTTATAGAAAGGACAAGAGTACGAGTATATAACCACTTTCATACAGTTGTCATACAGATTCTTTTCATCAGATCAGTCTATAAAGATTTTTCTTTTTTAAACTTGTAGAACCACAGTAATAATTTGACCAACACTCTCCCAATATTTTTCATTTTCTTTCAACTGCGTTGATGAATAAATGAGTATCGTGCACTACATTCAGCATGCGAGCAAACGGGAATTAAACGAGGAAATCATAAAACAGAATTCAGCCTAAATTTGAAATTGATGCAATTGATGTATCAGTGAGAGAGATCAGCTTCAACAGCAAAATAGGTTTAAAAATCCATCAGTGATGCGGCCTCTTTTCAACTGGTGCACATTAAAATAGCAAGAAGGATTCTTATAATTGAAATCATCTATAGAGTTTTGTTCCTCACGCGTTGCCGTCAAGAAATTTGAGCATAAGGAGTTTTTCTGACAATTTGTAACAGACTCTAGACGTTAGTGGACTAATTGGCTTTTCTGAGTGCATAGAGAAATCACATAAGATTAATCCTGCAGGCTCAGCTCATCAGGACAGTTAATTCTGCCTCCCAAACACAACATGTTGCTCCTGCTGCTGTTTGTTTTCCTTCATACTGACACTGATGCAGTAGATGAAGTATGCATTATGAATCTTTTAACAGCACACATTTTAAACTCCATTTCAAACTCAATTTGCTGATTGACCAAACAGAATCAATTGAGAGAGCATTTCTGCCTATCCCACGAGTGAGTGAGCAAATGGATTTGAGAGAATAATTTTTATATTAAGTATCTTTGTTTTACTTTCTCACCTATGACAAGGAATGCTAGTTCTTTAGTACCACACTCATTACATTACATTAACGCTTTTATCCAAAGTGATTTACATTTGAGAAACAACATACAACCATCAACAAAGCATCAAATACAGCACGAGATCTACAACTGACAATACATACTAGTAAGAGCAGCAATAAATACTAGTAATAGCTAATAGCACATATCGCATCAATGGGGTAAACCTAGGGAAGGAAGTAATATTTAATAAAAAGTGCAATCAATACAGAGAGCACAGGAAGTGCATGTTAGAGGTGTTAAGAGGAAGTGTTCTCGGAAGAGAGGAGTTTTCAAGAGCTTCTTGAAGTTGGAGAGGGATGCCCCTGCTCTGATGGCACGTGGTAGCTCTTTCCACCATCATGGTGTCACGGATGAGAACAGCCGGGACTGGGATTGCTTTGTGTGAAGGGATGGCTGAGCCAGGCGTCGATCGTTGGAAGAGCGTTGTGGCCAAGGAGGAACATACACTCAAAGTAAAATGTACTGACAGATGCTGGTGCAGTAGAGATTATAGTAGATGTTAACGTCTTTGTAGTTTCACAGTTTTTACACATCATAACAACATATTGCAGTACCAGATGTGTCAGTTAATACGAGCCTAAGTAGGGATCAGCCCAACTTTGAGTGTGCTAATTAACGTGTGGTAATCACAGTTAAATCTCAGTAGTGGCCTTGAAGGCTCTCAGTAAACTTGGCAAGTTTGAAAATGACTTGGCACGGCCCTCTCCTGGGAGGTGGAGTCTAGAAATGTGGCTGGCCAGCATGCCTGCTGTCAGCCCTTCTTTCACCTTATTAGGTATCTTCACTCATTAGCAACATGGACAGTCTTTTCCCCCAGGTGTTTTTCTCCATTTCATCTTCATTGTGGCAACAGAACTGCAGTCTTGCTATGCTTTTAAAGTCATATCTTTCTGACTTGCTAGATAAGCCTGAAACTCAAGAGGACACACCCGTCAGTCGGATATCCTCATAACAGGCTGACAGTGACTCAATGTGATGTTTATAGAGAACAACTGGCTCTACTGTTGATGTGTTGATAGTGCACTATGACCTCATAATCATACGTACTGCTGGCCATTGTTCTCCACACAACACTCAACTATTTACCATCCACGGGGGAAATTGTTGACATCATAGCAGTCTGTATGTGTCTGTTGTAGTGTCAAGATTTACCACCAGTCCTGTGAGAGTGAGGAGGTGAGAAAGTATGTTCTTGTGCCTCCTACATTGTTAAATTATTTCTCCTAACTATATATTTTTGTACTGTTAGTTTGCAATTTTAAACGCCCACTGCTACAGTGTCACAGAAAGTTCAACCTGTCTGCTCTTCTCTGTTTCTATTTAAGTATTTTCCACAGTTATGAACTTTTAGTTATTCCAAAGCTGATAAGATGTGTGGAGACAGTAGCCTTTGTTGCTAGCAGGGGAAATGCCAGCATGTTAGAAGCCATTTTACATCCCAAGTGAAAAGAGACCTTTTTCTTCTAGTGCCTCATGCCTCTCAAGCCTCATGCCTCAAGCCCTGTTTGTGTTGCTTGAATGGGTTTCATGAATAGCCTGTTCTGGTCCTCTGTGTGTGGGCCACTATGCTCTTGTGGGACATTGGTATGCTTCAGTCTGTCATAGTTGCTGTGTAATTTTATTTATTTATTTTTGACAGAGAAGAATTCCTTGAAAGCACCCTGTTGTGGAGGTTGAACAGCTAGAATCTGACCTTATCAGTAACAAAACAAGCTTGCTCAGGATTTACATTTCTAGATAAGATGAGTAAATACAACTGCAGCAGTTCTCGTGTTAGCTGTGTACCATGCCATTTTAATGGTCAGTGTTCAGAGACCTGAAACATGTGAAAATACATAGAAATTTCCTTATGGAAACTTTTGACTTGAGACTTAATTTTGACTCAAATGGTGCCTGAAATGACATGTGACTTGCTATTACAAGACTTAAGACTTGACATGGATTTGTTCTTAAGGATTGAAACCTGCTATTTGACTTGACTTGGGCTTGTCTTGAACGACTTGAAACTTGACTGGACAAGAAGGCCGAGAGGGGATAACATGCAGCAAAGGGTCTGGGCTGGACTCGAATCCAGGCCGCTGTGGTAAGGAATCAGCCAAGGTGGACAACCCTGTTTTGACTCTAGACTTGTCTTACATTACTTAAGAATTGACTTGGACTGGTTTCAAACAACTAGAGACTTGCTTATTAAAAGACTTGACTATTACATGTATAAGTCTACATGTATTAAAACATTCTTTGTGAGACTTATGCTGTTTTTCCTCTCTCAGAGCGAGTGAGCCACCACCATGGCCCTGGTTCAGGCTCTGCCCATATCTGCTGAGCCCCACAACCCAGGCCACAGTGGAGGAGCCCGCAGGAGACATCCCTCTGGCTCGTCACCCCCCATCAACCCACCCCCCTCAACTCTTGATCCTATGGGTTCGGTCAGCAGCCTCATCTCCACCCGCCCCGCCCCCTACCAGGACCACCGCTTTGGTGTCGAGCTGGGAGCCCGTGTCCGACGGCCCACACCAGGCACCTCGTGCCTGGGCTCTGAATCACCCCAGGACCCCTTACTGCAGAGCATCCCACCACTCAAAAAACAGAGCTCCACAATATCCAGCAGGGGGCTAGAGAAGGAGAGTGGTAATGGAAACTACACCTACCTGAATGACGACTATGTAGGCGACTGGAATGACAACCGTGTAACACGTGGCAGCCCAGGGAGCGACACAGATGAGACTAAAGAAAGATCAGGGTTTAATGGGAACATGGAGGGACCTCCTCCAAAACTGATCCCTGTGTCAGGAAAACTTGAGAAAGTGAGTGTTTGAATACATTAGTGTTTAATGATAGAATCATATTACACTGAATGTAATTTTATATTACAATCTGATGTAGTTTGGTGTGCTGTTAAACTGTATTGCATTATACAGGGAGGTGTTACTGTTATTTAGCCTACCCTCATTTCCCTCTCTAAAACAGTTTAAACAAAAACTAATCATAACCTTCATGAAGAGATGATGCAGCACTGCTGCATTAATTTCAGCTATGTGTACCTAATCAACTTGCAACTCAGTGTAAATCCCGACAGAAATACAATTTACTGATAAGCTTACTAATGCAAACATCCAAAACAGCCATTAACCAATTCTACACATTGATATATGGTTAATTTATGTATCCAAAGTCTACCTAGTGGCTGTTCTAGAGCTTTAGGTCATGATATAACATGATCTTCATCTGCAGATTGCTGAGTTTTCTGAGTTGTGATATCATCAGCATAAGATGGAATTGGACATGACTTTGAAGGACAGCTTGTTCAGTATGGCAAAATCTGAATTCTTTTTAGTTTTGACACCGCATTAGCAGTGTGATAGTAAATTAGCCTGAAGTGAACATCAACTCAGATGTTGTAAATCATTGCTTGCCTCTCAACACTCATCCCATTTTGTATTCCTTTTCTAGAACATGGAGAAAACAGTGCTGCGGCCCACTGCCTTTAAACCCGTCATTCCCAAGAGCCGTACCTCCATGCAATACCTCTCCCCTCGCCACTGTGCCAATGCATCAGAAAGCCAAAACAACCTGAACCTTCTCAGCCCGACCCACAGAGAGGTGTCGCCCTCCTCTGAGAAATGCAGCTTGTACAGCAGGATCCGAAACAGCGGCGGTGGCAGCAGCCAGTCCTGTCAACTTTCTGACTCTGGACGCAACTCCCTCTCTAGTATACCACCTTACAGCAGCGCCGGCTACAGCCAGGCATCAGGAGAGGCCTCTGCTGGCCACCTGGAGCCCTTGAAGAGCGCGCCGCCTGTCAGCGGACACGGACACTCCAACTCAGACAGCGGACGCTCATCTTCCAGTAAGAGTACGGGATCCGGCTCGATAAGTGGCAGAGGACAACCTCTGTCTGACAGTGGGTCGAGCGGGCGCTCCCCTGGCCCTGTGGAGGGTTATGAGGGGGTGGTGAGGGACCTGGAGGACAAGCTGAGGGAGAGGGAGCTGGAGTTGCAGCAACTTAGAGACAACCTGGATGAGAATGAAGCTGCGATTTGTCAGGTTGGTAGATAATGTAATACAGATGAGTGAAACACACTGTCCCGTTTGCCGGCTGATGTCTCACTTTCACATGTTTATTATTTAAAGCAAGCTGACACTGTAAATAATTCCAAACTCATCTTTAAATCACAGGTTATTTGTTTTGTATTGTCAATCCTGTGACCTCTTTCTCTTTGCAGGTTTATGAGGAGAAGCAGAAGCGCTTTGAGCTGGAGCTAGAGGAGCTGAGACAGGGCTGTGCCACCAGGATGCAGGTAGCCTCACAGAAGGCCCAGCGCGCACAGCAGGTGCTTCAGTTGCAGGTCAGATCCTTGACAGAAACTTGAACTTGTTCAGGTTCTGCTACCATTTTTCTACGAATAGATGACCAGAACAAACGATCAGTACTTACCAGAGCCACAAGTAGCTAGTTTTAAAGTATTCTGTCAGCATGTTTCTAATAGTTCAGTATTATTTTACATTGGAATCTTAAATGGGTCCATATTATCTAAACACATTATAAACAGCTGCTTAACCAGATGTCAGGTTTGATTTTCTCAAGAAGTCCTTAAATTCACAAACCAAATGTCAGAGGATTTATCTCGTTCCTTTTAAGTAGTTTAAGTCTTTCAGTAATAATGATTGAAAAACAATAATAGGGAAAGATCCTGCAGGGTTAGTGCAGATGTTGCTTTAAGTGCATAGCATTCAAGCTGTGTTTCAAAAAGCTCCAAAAAAAAAATTAGTTGCCAGAAATGAGGTAATTTTAGCGCAAGGGCAAATCACGTGAGTTCATGATCATTTGTTTACATCAAGCGCATCTATTATCAATATCAATGAAATTTGTCTCAGGCCAATGTATTCTTCGCACTTCTTAAATTTCATAGCTACCTTTAAGACCTAAGATTTGATAAGGTCAACTTGGCTGAGACTGGCTGTGTCATGGCCCACAGGTTTATCAACTCCAGCAGGAGAAGAAGAAGCTGCAGGAGGACTTTGCTCAGCTCCTTAAGGAGAGGGAGCAGCTAGAGGAGCGCTGCTCCTCCTATGAGCATGAGAAAATCCAGCTCGGGCCTCGACTGGAGGAGAGCAAGTGGGAGGTGAGTGGCACAACCACAGCTGTTTTTTAAACTGACTCACATGTTCAATTGAGGGATGCGGGCATTTTAGTGAATTTATTACTTGATACAAGAAGTGAAAATGTTGACAAATTGTAGCTGATGTAACTAAAAGGTCCAGTGATCTTCTGGATCTCTTGTCAAAGTCTGACAGGTAACATAATTAATATCACATGAACAAACCCATAGAGAGATGCTGGAAGACAAACTTTAAATAATATGCCTCAGGAATGGTTATCATCAGTCATGCAGGCTGGCTCAGTGTCTTTGTTAGCTCCAGACGCAGATCAATAATACAATTGATCTTCTCTGCGGTTTGAGATAATTAATTGTGCCACAAGGAATCATGTCTAGAAGTCTAAAGATCTTAGACACCCTGAATAGTTGAACTGATAATTTTGGTATTTTTCATACATGGAGGATGTAAAAATGAATTTGTAAGAACTGCGAATAAGGTGGAACAACAAAAACATGATCGCTAAAACAGAACAACTTGTGGACTTCCTCAGTCACTGAACAATGAAAAACAGACTGAAGTTCTGTTTTGTACACATCAGACAGTAAGCAACATCAATAGGAATGTCTTCATTTGTTGCCCAATATCATGGTGTTTTGGTCTACTTAAACTATCAAGATGTTTTCAATAAGACTTATTAGATTTATATTACATTAGATTTTTACATTTATTTTTAGATCTGATACTATTAGCTGATTGAGTCAATCAGCATAAAATTAAACAATTATAGTTTAACTTACTAGGTCATCTATGATATGAAGTTGAATATCTTTGGGTTTTTGTCAGCTGCAGCCCTGGTTATTTTACTTCTCTTTATTTTTGATTAGCCTGTGCACCAAAAAAACCCAAAACCCATCGCTTTGCTGAACTGAACATGCCTTCTAAAAGTTTTTCTTTCCCACTCAGGTCTGTCAGAAGTCAGGGGAAATCTCGTTGCTGAAGCAGCAGCTGAAGGAAGTGCAGGGAGAGTTAGCCCAGCGAGTGGGAGAGATTGTTTCACTGCGGGGTCAACTCAGAGAGGCTCGTGGTGAGCTGACAAACACCCAGGTCTTGCTCCAGGAGGCCCACGGCACAACCCGCACACGAACCCTAGAGCTGGAGGTCTGTGAAAACGAGCTTCAGCGTCGCAAAAGCGAAGCGGAGCTGCTCAGAGAAAAGGTAGGACGCCTAGAGGGAGAGTTGGTTTATCTCAGAGATGCCTTGGCCAATCAGGGCCCAGGAAACAGACAGTGTCAGGTTTTCCAGGAAGCAGAGGAGCACCTGCTCGCCTATGAGAGTGATGAGGCGAAGGCCCAACGCCAGAGCAGCACCGAGGCCCTGCAAAACATGAAGGTGCAGATGGACAGGATGAGGGCCGAGCTGGCCTTCGAGCGTCAGCGGGCCGAGCAGCAAACTGGAGGCTTCGAGGAGGAGCGCAGGATATGGCAGGAGGAGAAGGACAAAGTTATCCGCTACCAGAAACAGCTGCAGCAGAACTATGTGCAGATGTATCGCAGGAACCGAGAGCTGGAGCAGCTCCTGCAGGAGCTCAGTCAGGAACTGGAGAGCAGAGAGGAGGACGAGGGCAGCGGCAACGAGATAAACTTCGACGAGATCGCCGCCACAGAAATTTGACCCTCATGTCTCTCTTTTGATTTGCACTGCTGTCAGCTTAAATGTTTGTTTTCACCTACATGTCACAGATCTGATCTCTTTTGTGCTGTCTAGATTTAAACACATTCTGTTTGAGAAGATTGGTATCACAAATGTAAAAACAACCATCTGTGGTGTAAAATCAGCCACACTTTAGTTCTGCCTCATCGGTTTTTACTCTAAGGAGTCCCATTTGAGAGCCAATGACCTATTAGTCGTTAGTAGGCCACCTCAGTCCTTTACCCCTCCATTAATATGTGTTAGTGTTTGCACTAACTAAGACATCAGCGCCTCAGCCCTCTTTCCCAGTCTTAAGCATTTGTGGGAGAATTTGTTGTGTATGAGTAACTTGTCCCAACCTTTCACTCTCCTCCACCTTCCCTGCTGGGTTTTAGCACTACACACCCACTCTGTTAGCATTCAGCTCTCATTAGTACAGTTAATTTGGATGGAGCCCACGCTGTTGTCAATTGACAGCAAACGTGGGATACCACACATTCAGCACGTCATAAGAGCGAGTGAATCAGAGCGCGGGTGCTAATGATGGTGGCTGCACTCTGAGTGATGTGAAGAGAATTATGTTCTCAAAAACAAGCCTTTCTGCGAATTGTGGCATGACCAACAACAGTAGATGTTTCCAAAATATGTCTTTTTTCTTTCTAATAGGAGTAGCACAATGAATTTGTTGGGACAAAACATCTATATTCCACCCTTATATAGCACAAATTTGTTGTTTTTATAACTTTGTAAACAGAATTGGAAGTTTGTGGACTCTAATATTAAGTCTGAGGGGAAACAAAGATTGAACCTCCTTAATTTGTACTTTTTACCTTTAAATGGTGAAAATAACATCTGTATAGTCTAATGTAATGACACCTGGAAAATATACGACCTTAACACTTGACATTCAGCGCATACATCTACTTTTCTCTCGCACACACAAATGATCTGACCCACCTTTAAAATTAGCTTTGTCAAACTATTGTCTGATGCCAGAAGATTGGATTAAATCATGTTTCCTACAGTGTAGTCGTGGGAGATGTGGATAAAATCTTCTATTCTAATACTGTAATATTGATATACTGTATATCATGATATTGTAAATGTTCAGGAAAATCAATCTTTTTCACAGCAGGCATTTTGGCTCGGCATAGCAGGAAAAGCATGGGTGTAATTAAGGTGTAAATAATAAGAACGACTGCATTCTATTACCAGGAATACTAACAGGAAGCTGGCTTACTCAGTGGAACTGGGCCATCTTTAACAAAAGTTGTTTCACATGTGCTTTTCCTACTGTGACAAGGCAAAATGTCTGCTGTGAAAAAGGTCTGTACCAGGGCTGTCCAGGAGCCTGAAACCGAAGAAGCTAAATGGAATTCAGCCATCATTGATTTAATTATTTACACCTATGATTATCCTGCAGTGACGAAGTGTCGGGAACCTGTTTATTTTTCCTATAAAGTCAACTTAGTGTCAGTGTTTTTGGCAAATCCAGTTATTAATACACAACAAATGAATCTTTATCACATTAATGCCTCCCAAAGAAGTCAAAACACCCTCAACTGCTCATGTTAAATGTTTTTCTTTGTTACACTTGAAAAAGTAATCTTGAGCCCAAATTGGCTCTTCAGGTTTTAAACATTGTACTTTTCCAACATTGTGCACCTTAGCCTCATACGCTCAGATATTAAAAGGATAGTGACCATGGTTAAACCCCATGACAAAATCAATTGGATGTTGTCTCATGGTATACAGCATATCTTATTAGCCATTCCTACTGTAAATTCATTCAAGTCATAGTAAGTCATTTGTATTAGTGGCGTTTTCCAGTAAAACAAATGTACATAAAATTAAGACAATTGTGTCAGACTATTAAAGCACACCTACATTCTTGTATCTTATAATTAGATCAAATACTTCTACAACTCTCTCCAAGATGTGGTGTAACAGATTACTGTGTGCGGGTGATGTGTTACTAAGATCACCTCACAGAAGGGGAATGATGCACTGAATGATGGGTGTTTTGGTGTAAACTACTTTGGCCATGGCGTGACTGTTTTTCCAACAACCTTTACATCATAGGATCTGTTTCATGCGTAGTTACTTCCCTGTACAACAGAACCAAGAGAAGAAGTCTTATGTTCCTGTATTACTGCTGATTGAATTATCCTCTGTAAATAACCCTGACAAATCATAGTTTTCTTCCAGAGATGTGTGTCCATCTCAAAAAAAATTAAAACATAGCCACTGTGAATAGACCAAAGCAATGTCGCACATTATATTTTGCGCCTACAGTACAGATACAATGCCTGTATATAATGTTTGTGTGGATGTTTGTTCTGGTTCGTCAGTATAATTTTATAATCCACAATATTTGTATGAAGACATTAAATGTATATTTTCATGCTGTACATTTCTTGAACAAACCTATGTTTTTAAATAAAAAAAACTAAATTTAATAGCTTTGTGTGGTACGTGGAGATTTGTTCAACTTCATACAACTGCTTCTAAAGTCAGGAAGTCTTACAGTAGATGCATTTTCTCTCTTAGCTGTATTATTGCATCAAATTATATACACTAGAATTTGATTTCTTCTTCTGCAGAAACAGATGAGTTTAAGTTTATTTTTCATCAGTATTCACCCAGGACATGGAATAACAGTTTTATCTGGGTTGTAATTTTCTCCAATAGCAACCTTAATTATTAATTCTACAGTACTCATCTTATTTACATTTAGACATGTTTTAAGGTTTGTGGCTTCCCTCAGCTGCTGCCCAGAGCAGAAGTTTTTTGTGAACGGCTCACGTCTGCCCTCTGCAGCTCAAAAGTTTCATTTCAAGCCAACTAAATAACATGGAGTCAGACTTTTATATGTTCAGTCCACTTTTAAAAGGCACTCAGGTTACAGTTTGTCATCCTGCACATTTAAACATTCAAACGCACAGACATACACTGCTGATGACACATCTAAGGTTTTGTTTAAGAAAATAATATTCTTGACAGGTATTGGCTCCTAGGATGTGATGAAAGTGATAAATTAAAGGCATCAGATCAGGAGCACCATTGTTTCATCATTTCAAGCCTTCTGGACACATTTAATTTACTGTAAATGTCTTTTGCTGCATCTGTGTTTGCTTAATCCTTCGTAAATCGATCTGCTGCCTTAGGCCATTTGGTTTTTTCAGCAAGTTGCTCAACAGTGTCCATGTCATCATTCCTAACTTTAACAAACTTTAACATGAATGGCAAAATTACATACCTGACCTCAGAGCATCAGTGTGTGATTAGGTTGGAGTTCTTGTCTCCGTGTCTGTCCCAGCGGCTGATAAATCACCAGGCATTTTTCCTAAATTCATGATAAGTGTCTCAAGTTTCCTTTCAAAGGTTTTTAGAGACTTTGACCACAAACAACATGGGGTCTTTGGCCTTATTGCTGAAGGCTTTTCGGATGATGTCGACAGCATGCTGATGGGTAACTCCTTGCAGGGAAACGCCATCCACAGACACCAACTCAAATCCAGCCTGGGGACATAAGAGGGACAGTTTGTGTCACGTGCATTCAGAGAGACCAGCACAAAACTGTGTGTCAATAGGGCACCTGCAGGTCTTAAGAAATCATGTAATTTAGGATCCTCAAAGGCCTTCGAGGGTATTGTAAAGTTTTACACTTTAATTTACAAAAGTCTAACATTATCTCTTGCTTGCCAAGGCACTAATATTAGTTATAAAATGGTTTGTATCTGTGATTGCGATCTATAAGCTAAAACTGTCACTACAGCAGCCAGGAGGCTCGTCATCTGATTACTGGCAAATGTAGATTTTGTTAAAAGATTCAACTTAAAGGAATTTAAATTAATGTATCATTTTTAATTGGTTAATCCATTTTCTGATGCTAATCTGAATGCAGGTTCCATTAATTTAATGAATTATATTATCAGAAATGTAGGAGCCATATTGCCCGTTTTCCTCCAAGCGATAGGGGGCATGATATTGTGCCTCAGGTAACTTAAGTTCCTGTATTGGTGCAAACAAGTGGTCGTTAATTGAAGAAGAGGAGCAAACAGTTTTTAATTGTGCTCGGATTATGTTGTATTATACTGGTTTTCAGAAATGGTTTCATACTTAGGATGATATGATTGTGTGTCTTAAATTAAATTTAGTGAATACTGCAGAAATGCTGTCACGTAACGTCACCTTGAGTACTTCACAGGTGGATGCGGCTCCTCCTGGAAAGATCTTCTCGATCTTCACCACCGGCTGAACCTTCGACTCCATCCCACCAGAAATACTAATGCCTGAAAAATCAAAACAACAGTAGTGGGAGTCAGTCATGTATTTTAGATTTGTATTTATATTTCCAGCTGTTTCTTCACAAGTACTGGTTTGTGAGAGTTTTGGATAATGAGAAGGACTTTCCTAAAAAACTCGATCCCTTTCAATCATCTCTTATTACCCACTAGAAGTGTGTGGCGGTATCTGTAGAGACCCTGCCTTCTGCCTGTATTTTCTTATTCATTTGCTGTGTTCTGGTGTTTTACATAATCGAGAATGAAATTAAATTATGACAAATTGTATGTTTTGATGTTATGATTCTGACTGCCCAAACATTTACCCAGTGACTGTTTGGTCTTGGAGATGCTGACAGTTTTCAGCTTGTACTCCTGTTCACGGTTGGAGCCACTGAGTCCATTCTGAGAAGAAGCCTGGTGGCCGTTCATCTGTTCACTCTCCACTTGTTGATCTGGAGTTGAACTGAAAACCTGCGACAACAAGGGCCGACTCCGGCGAGCAGCACTATGCAGCGTGAACACAGTTTCTTTATTCCTGTCTCCACTTTTCTCCTTTTTGCCTTTGGAGTGGCCGTTTCTAAACGGTGACCTTCCTCTTTCTGAAGTCGTGTCCCCCTTACTTGAAGCTGAGTGCAGTGAAACCTCGTCAAAGTGGACGGAGCGAATGGTGCCAATGTCTGTTCTGAGAGGAGGGCGGGAATCATCGTTGCGGGCCAGCAACCAGTTGGGGAGCACGGCGGCGGCAGAGGGGGGTCTGAGGTCTCTGGACTCAGTGTTATATCCGTCCACCGGTATGTCGAGCAGCGGGGTGAAGGACCTGGAGGTGTGATGCCTCTCCTTGGACCCCCGGGGCCCAGACAGACTGAGCTTCTCCAGCTCTTCCAGTAGGTGGCTCTCCTTCTCCACCTCCTCTGTATTGTGGAGCTCAAAGCCTCCCCTGTAGTCTGCAGCAAAAACACAGGATGGGATCTGCAGCTTTCCATTTCACGTTCTGTGCACTTTTAACCCGGTGGTTTGAAAGGGTTCTCTACAAAACGCTATGTTCATGCATATTAAAAGTTATGCATGATTAACAGACTCATGGTAAGGCAAGAAAACACCAGTTTGCAATAATAAGAACCACCTTTTTAAGTACCAAATGGCCACCCTCCAATCCTGGGAAAAGATACGTTTTTTCAAATAATCAAATAAAAAAATCAAAAAAAAAAAAAAAAAAAAAAATCACTTTAATCCAAAAGTTTAAATTACAGAAAAATTATAAGTATAAGGTGAAAGGTGCTGACCTGGAACGGGAGTGATGAGGCGTCGTTTGGGTGCTCGACCAGATGTAGGAGAGCGAAGAGGAGGAGTTCGGACTATGATACAGAGATGAGAGGAACACAGTATAACTGGAACTGTTCAGAGCCGATTTGTGTTAACACTGCTGCACATGATCACACCGATTCTGACACTGCTCCGAAACCGCACAAATTCAGCATGTATCATACGCACTTGAGCGGTACTTGAGGATATCATAGGCCTCGACTTCGATAGGGGTCACCATGTTATTGAATGTACTCAAGTCAGAAGGGGGAAGCAGCATCCTTAAAAAAAAACAAGGAAAAAAAATGCTGAGTCATGCTCATGTGTTAGGTTACAAAACATTTTTAATTAGACATCAGTTTCTTATTTTGGAAACGTTTGGATTTGAGAAGATTATCCTGAAATATCCTTAATCCCCTTCTGGCAGTGTTTGTAATACCAGTTTCTGTTTTGGATTTACACACGGCCGTTGATGTGGAGGGTACACAGAGTTTATCCACATTTATCATATGCAAGCATAAAGAAAACCTTCATGATGTAAATGTACAGTATATTTGTGTATATATTTCAGAACCGTTATCAGTTTGAAGAACTTCTATGAACAATAGTAATTTATCATCGGTTGCCTTAATATTATCAGTGAATACTAATTCAGTATTTATTCCGCAGTATACTTCAGTGTTTTTTCTTTTTTCACGCTCTTCTTACCGGACTTCCCTTAGCAAGAGCAGCTTTTCAGGTCTGTCCAGCACGGCCAGCAGGTGGCGTATCAAGGTCTCCACTGACCGCTCTGCGATGTACTGTTAAGGGTAACAACACAAATCTGTTATTTAGTATCCAGTTAATAATGACTTAAATATTACTTAAACTAAGAACTGTTTTGTGAAATATGTATGTAAAGGAATTGTTTGATGTAAATACAAACAGAGACTTCCTTCATGGGCAGTTCAAAGGCCAACATTACCATCTAACATCTAAAAACCAGAATGTCTCAGTATGTCTGCAGCTGTGAACAAAGCTTCTTACCCTTCGGCACGTCTTCATCACAGCAGCCTCCTCCTCTTCTGTCAGCAGCCTGTGGGCCATGTCCTCCACCACTCCAAGCATCTCTGAATTTGGCATCGCACTGACTTGTCGGCCCACTGAAAAAACAACAGAACAAAAGCACTACTCAAAAGGTATTTAAAATTTGGGATTTACTGAACAAGCTTACATTTTTAGGGTTTCCACCATCTCTTATTCAATAGTGCTCCACCAAAAGCTATTTTAAAAAAAAATTAAAAAAAAAATAAATAAAAAATCACAAAAACATCCACTAAAAATGCACCATTTCTTCTTGTTTGAGGTGCAGACTAGGTTACTATATCTTTGGAGGCGATCTCCATTTCCGACAAGACGTAAATGGCAAAATCCTTCGGTTTTTAAGATTTATTTCTTCAATAAGAGTAAAAGGATTTGGGGCAGAGAGCCTCATACAGGTTAGAAAGGTCAGAAAGTACTGAGCATTGTTGGTTTTAGTCTTCATGGGATTAGTTGACAATTTACTTCATATCCTTTAGATTAGGGGTGATGTGTCTGGTTTTTTGTTATTGTCTTCACAGTATGGGTGTGAAGCAACAGCCACCTAAGCAAGTGCCAGCATCTTTACTGGCCATTCAGAAAATAATCTAATTCTCTGTTAAAAGTAATTTGTGGGAGTAAAACATGCATTTTATGTAGGGCTGGGCATTATGGCCAAAAGTTTTATCACAATAAAGATTAAATCATTTGAAATCGATAATAATCACGATAAATGTCAAATCACTATTTCTTTCAAGTTTTAAGACTGATTTTTGCTCCTGAGTGAAAGTTGAAAAAAACAGATTGTTAACTGTGGTTTTACACTTTTCTATATGGTAGAACATGACTAACACTGTGGTGAGGTAGAACATTCAAAACAATTCTGATGAAATCTTTTTCTTCTTTTTCAGTCCCTTTTCCACAACAAAATAAATATCTTAATAGAAAAATTAAGTGCTAATTCATTTGTGATTCAAATGAATTAAATCAAACATTTATTGAACATTTGTTATGTTGTTATTGAGGAAATTTATATCGCGATAATTATCATTATTGTTTTATTGCCCAGCCCTAATTTTAGGGACATAAAAATGCAGCTACCTTTTCCAGCCTTGTCTGTGGACGGGGACTTGGAGCGCCCCCTGGAAGTATCTCGTTTGCGTCCACCCTTGAATAGCAAGTTGACGAAGGTCTTTGAGCGCTGCAGGGTGCTCTTCTCCTCTGGGTCCTTCCCTTTATGCTTCTTCTCTTTCTTCTGCTTGATCTCTGTGATTGGATAAGCAACAGTGGGCTCAACTATTCCATCATTCAATGAACATTTATGTTACCCGCTCTCTCCTCGCCTCACCTGCCACAGTGACTTGGCTCTGGGACCTGCTGATTGGCCTGGCCGGTCTGCCGAGAGCCAGCAGCACGGCTGTCTTGGGGGACTCTTTCCTCCCCCTGTCCTCCTCTGCACGGATCACCGTGTCTTTGAGCAGAGTGGTTTGTCCCAGGCTGCGAGTGGTGTCTGCACCCATCCTCTGAGAAGGAAGGTCGGTCTGGATTGCAGTCTCAGTTTGCTCTGACTCAGACCTGGACAAATAAAACGACCATGATCATGTCTGGTCTGTAAGTGTACACATGTTGCTTTTGAAAACTTAAGCTGTATTGTATGTGTCTGCAGAGTCAAGAGACTATTTAAAAAGCCTAGAACACGTTAAAAGTTCTATAAAATATAATGTTTCAGTCTAGTGTTTCTTATTGTTGCTTTAAGATGAGTTTCTCAAACATTGTCTGAAAATCAAACTGAAAATAAAATCAGCTGAGCCTGACCTCTGGTCCTCAGTAGAAATGCACACATCCACCATGTCTGAACCAAACGGCAGGCTGGGAGGGAACATGACCTGCGACAGGCCGCTCAGAGAGCTGACCGGAGTGCCAGACGACAGAGAGGAGGCTGAGGAGTTGGATTCTGAACCCTGGGAGGAAGATTTCTGACTACCATTGGCCACTGAGGAAGAAAACAAGAGATCTTCTAACTCAAATGTGTCCAAGCTGATCACTGAGTATCCTGTGTTCTTTACAGATTCACAGATGACACCTCACACAAACAGAAAGGCTCACACTTTTCTAAAGTGACTGTGGGATTGCAGCTTTCTACATGGTGAAACACTGGTAGAAAAAAAAAAACACAGATACATACGCTTATTAAGCCACCTGTATTCTGCCACCATCTCCTTATAAGCAGGGTATCGTCCTGCTTCCTGTGAAGATATGGTCACAGATATGCAAATGAGATACAGTGGAGACCTTGAAACTTTTATGGGATCACTATATTTGATAGAGTAACCCTAGAAGCATACAGAGATTAAACATACAGCCCTTCCTCCTCAAATAGAAACACATTTCCCTTCTTGACTTTTTCGTAACCTTTGATGGCTGGGATGCTTTCTAACTCTGCCTGTTAAAGTTTCCACGGGCCAAAAGCGAGGGATCCCGGAACAAAACTTGCACAAAACACGGCTCTAAGCTTTGATCAGCACCTGATCCCAGCTGCCTGGTGAATAATGCACACAGCCTGGCTATTTTTCACAGCGCGAAACCCAAGCTCCGACAAGTGAGCGAGGAATATTATGACTGAGTGCCAGCTGTCGGCCCTGCCACACAAACCGTTATTATATCCACTGTGTAGCGACGCGACGCGTGTATTTGGTTTGAGAGAATTAAAGATGAAAGGTAGGAAACAGGTCAGAAAGTGAATGCAGGTCACCTGACCGAGGCAGTAATAAAAGAGCCGACACGCTTTCTGATAACAAAGAGTCGATATGGAATGTGATACAGCCTCTTCAGCTTTGTTGTTAACACCGAATCCACATTCAACTGAGACAACTTTACTTCTACCAGTAATGCAATATAAGATGAAGGCTCACACTTCATTTTAACAATACACATTTTCCATTAGTATTTACCAATGTACCAAAGGATTATAGACACTGGATTTTCTATCAAATTGATAAAATTTTACCACCTGGGACAGTTTGTTAATGAGGACTTCAATCATCTTCACATGATCACCACTCTCACCTTGATGGTCAGCATGACGTGTGTGTGGCTCTTCAGCACCTCCACAGCACTGCTGTGGCTGATGTCCTCAAAGCTCACTCCATTGGCAGCCAGGATCTGGTCCCCCATCTTTATTCCATTCTGCTCAGCCAGACCACCAGGATCCAGTCTGAAACAACAAGACATGAGTGAGTACAATCAGCTCTATAAATGTAGCCAAGATATTATTTAATGACTAAATGTTGTTGTGTTTTTCAGTCTAGAAGAGCAAATTTTCTAAACTTTTGTACCTACTTGGAGACATAGATGCCCAGACCAAACTCCTTTCCCCCACGGATGTTGAAGCCCAAACAGTAGTCGTCTGAGGTGGTGTAAAGGTGGACGATCCTTTGGAGGGCACTTCCGGAGCTGGTCTCAGAAGGTGTCCGTCCGCTCTCCTCCACCACCATACGCCTGTGTATCAAGTCCACCCTGAAAGATTTTACAGTCAGTCAGAATGTAATATTTATGTGATAAAACGAGTTAATATCAGTAGGAATAGTTCTTCATCACCAGGTAGTTTTCTCCTTGGAGTAGCGGATGCCGGGGACTTTGCCAACACGTCTTAACACCATCCTCAGCCTGTTGTTGCCTGTCAGGACCTTCACAGCGCTGCTCATCGTGATGCTCTCCAGGCTGATACCATTCACCTCCACCAGTTTATCACCTACAAGCAGGCCTGCTTGCTCTGTACACACACACACACTTGTGAAAATATACTGTAACAAGAGCAACAGAAGTAAACATCAGTCACAACAGTCATAAAAAAAGGTTAGTTTACCTGCTGTACTGTTGTCCTCCACCTTACTGACAAAGATGCTGAGGCCGTGTTCGGAGCCTCCACGCACGCTGAAGCCGAGCTTGCCATCTGCACTTTTATCCACCGTGATCGTATGGAGGTCCTCGCTGTCATCTCCACCTAAAAACATCACACACATCCTGTGTCAATAAGCTGATAAGCCAGTGGTCAAAAATTATTATTAAAATCAGTCAAAATCTTATTTGACAATTCATAATACACAGCAGTGGTTCTCTATCTTTGAAGCAAATAAATAATATATTTTCTTAGTACACCAACATTACACATTAGATGTCATTTTTTTGATGTCACATTTTTTGATTATTAAAAATCTTCCTCCCCTGATGTTAGACATCACTTCCAAAAGTTTAGTGAAAATACAAATCTGGAAATGGAACTCAACAGCCTTCTTTAAGAGCATAACTTCTACAAACATTGTTATGGGCGCATGCAGCCTGTTTAATCTATGCTTTTATTTACAGTTTATATTCTCCTAAAAAGAAAAATATTATATTAAATATATATTGAGATACTATGCTCGTCTCATTTTAGGTTCCTAAGTTATTAGGTATTAATGGTGTTATTTTGTCAGGTTTTTGCAGTTTGTCTCCATTGTTTCCTTGAGATATGCATATAAAGACGTCGTTTCAGTTTGTGAGTAACTGCAGGTCTATGACCAAGACATTACTTTTCTATGCTGGTCATGTGCAGGTGTTTGCAACCTTCTTTTACATGTTCTCGTGAGACAGAATGGTTGGAAACCACTGATCAGGTCAGTATAATGCAGAACTTATGCAAAATAGCAAAGTCACCCTGCAAAGTCTCAACTTGACTAATTTTTGAAAGAAAAAGCAATAATTATTCAGTCACTTATTAGGTAGGTTGTAATGTGCACTACACAAGCACCCAGCCCAACTACTCCTTACCATCCACAGGAGAGTTGATGAGGATGACCCGGCCCATGGGTGAGGAGGATCGGATTCCACGTCGGCGCTGCTCCTTCTTCCGTAAGAGGTTGCGTGTAGCCGTGTGTGACCCTTGGGTCCCGGGGGTCTTGTCCCTGCGGGATGGGTCTGACGAGTGAGCCATGGAGGCTGGCAGGGTCCCCTTTCACACACACTCGACCGGTGGCTCAGCTCCGGGCGACGGAGTCTACAGCCACACACAGCAGAAGGAAAGCCGTCCTCAGGCAATTTGCCCACTGTGTTCCCCGCATACTGAGACTATATAATATTCACACAACTGCACTGTGTTTATTTGTATAAAAGTGGTATTTTTTATTAGCGTGACATGGCAGGATAATCCAACTCACTGATGCAGGCTGCTTTGTGACATGATATCTGAGGCTTTGGCTTCCTGGAGTCACACTTTGGTCCATTCCTGCCCATGTTGCATCTCTCTCACCTGTCCCAGTCTCACAGAAACATTAACAGTTGGCAGATAAATGAACACATCAAATACCGTAATACATTAACACATCTAGAGCATGTCTTAAGTGTATTTTATAGTCTTTTGACTAACATATATAGGCCTACCGATTTTGCCTCTGCAGGTGAAAATATGCTTGAAATAGCATTTACTTGGTTTATTTAGCTCAGACATGACCCACTTACAGATAGGATGTCACATGGTGTTGATGCCATGGTTACATGTCACTAAACTTGACCCATGATAAAAGTGAGTCCTCATGTCGTCACCTTGGGGTTCCCCCAAGCGTCTCGTGGTGCTTCAGCACCCCAGACAGCGACGCTAAAAAGCGGGCAAAGCTGCGGTAGCTTCAAAAGGCGACTTTTAACATTTAGCGTGTGATAACCGGGACCAAGTTAGATTTAAAAGAGTTTATTTGCGTATTAATTCACTACGCAACTTCAGCGTTTACTCCGCTACAGTATCTGATACTTGCAGAACAAATGTAGACTTTTTGCGCAATATATCGCCTAACATAACAAATAAAATACTTACCACACATTTTACGTTTCAAGCCGAGAACAACAAGGCAGCAGCTGTCGTGTAGACTACTCTGCTTAAACACTACCAGAAAACAGATTCTGACTGACTTTGAACTAATGGTCGACAGCGGAAAGTATCCACTGTATTCTTTAAATTCATCCCATATTCTGTGAAGGAACTAATCTAAGTCACCTAGTTAGCGTACCTGAGTCCATGTTGTGCAAAATGATCAACGCACCTGGCTGGGACATTTCTCCTGCTGGTAAAAGGTCCGCCCCTGGCCATGTCGATTGGCTGGATTACAATTAATTGAGAGTATTTCATTGGATAACTAATATGGCAATCAACTGACAACGAGTCAGAACTTTCTGTACATCAGATACTGATGCAACAATAATAATAGGCCTCACAATCAAATACAGTACAGTAATGCTGTACAGATACATTACACAACCATTAGACAACAGATTACTCAATAAATACACATTAATTCAAGCGTTTATATTTATTGTGCTTCTTTTAATGTAACAGTGTGGTTTGAGTTGGTTTTCAACATCAGGTCTGCACCCTCAAAGGTTTAGACACAGACTATCATAGACAAACCAACATTAACAGCACAGCAGAACAAAATTTTAAAGCAGATGAAACTCAGATGTTACTGATGACATTTGGGAGATAAACAAAACAATCTATTGACTTTTACTAATTCTCTTTGCTGCATCCAGGATGGAAGAAAGATCAGCTTTGTCTCCAAATTCCTTCTCCCTCTGCTCCAGTAGTATACCCTGAGTAAGAAAAGAAGACATCAGTGCTTTTTAGGAGAACATTTACATAATTTCTTCTCATTCTAAGACTACAAACTTTAAACAATAAAGGCACAAATCAGTATGAGAGTATGAATTGCAAATATGAACTTGTTTCGTATTACCTTTTTTTCAATGACATACAAGCCACCAAGAATGAAACCTTCTCCATTTTTGTTGCCCTGGTAACCCTTCTTCTGAGCATGGACCAGGTTTCGTAGAACACCCAGACGAACAAGACCAAGACCCAGTCCCATTCTTCTGTATTTAGGGCCATAGAAAACCTGCTGCAAAAGGAAGGAAAAAGGGAAGAGCAGAGGAAAAAAACTGAGAGGAGAAAAACGTTACTGTTACTGAAGCTAGTCAAACCCTGTGTACAAATACCTTGTGATCCACAAAGATCTCCCCATTAAAGTACGGTCTGAAGTTCTGGACCTCGGTGCCAATGTCCTCCTTCACCACAGCGTACAGACGGACCCCGAGCTCATCCAGCTGGGGTTTCAGAGAGGACAGCGCTGCGGCCTCCTGAGGAGAGATGAAACAGACAATAACAGTCTGTTGACATCTGAAGGTGTGATACTTTAAAACATCAAATCAAAGTGTTAAGTACTATGAACAAAATAGACCATGTTTAAGAAAATAAATACCCTGTCTTAGGGGTTCCCAAACTTGGAGTCGAAACACTGTATTTGAGTATTACAAACCATTGTGTAGTGTTTTGGCGTCTGTTAAGTCTTAAAACTCATTAATCTGGACTTCCTGGATAATATTTTATTTTCCCACTGATATCTTAAAGAACACACCCCGCCCCACACTGTTTTAACGCTTAGCTGTTTTTGGCTAATGATAAAAGGGAAGACAGAAACATTTTGTAACACACAATTTTGTTTATTTTTATACTTTGAATGCCTTCCTGTTTTTACAGTCCCTTAAAATTAAACAATCTTGGGGGGGAAATTGACTAAACTGCTCACAACTCATGTCCGGACTAAACCCACAGCCTCCGACAAGCGATCACTTTTAAAGCCAACAAGCCAAAAACGTTGGATATGAAAAATATACTGTATGTGCAAATGTTACACAGAGAACCATTACATTATGAGAAATAATAATTGTTGCATTGCATTCTATGATAACAACAGGGTCACAATTGTTGCTGTCACACTGGGTATTTGAATACTGCTAAGTCTGGGTTTTGTCAAACATATACAGTATTGTTGTTTTTTTTTTAATACAAATCCTGAACATTAGACACAGTGATACACCCATGATTTGCCACAACTCAAAAACAGAGGAGGAAATATAAGAGACAGATGTATCCTGTTTTTAAGTTTTAGCTTCTCTACAGCTGCTAAAATATCCAAAAGTGTTTTCATGTGACACATACAAGTGCATCATTTCAGTTAGAGCAGCCCCAGTGGACAATACTGAATATATCTAAAACTCCTGAAGCAAGAATCCTAATGTGTATTATATCACACTCACAAATGCAAACACATGCATACTGTATTTTACCTCTCTGCACAAGGCTCACCCAGGGCGCCTCACAGCCAGAATCACTGCTCCGCTTCTCTCCCACAAAAGTTGACCTTTCACTGTCTTACCATCTGTAGAATCACACAAAACACATGAATATGATTTCTCTTTCTTGAAAGTCCTTGAGGTTACTAGCATAGCATTGTGTTAAATTATACAGAGCTAATGTGTTTTGTCTACAACAACTGTATTTCTGGTGACTTATGGGATTGTGAACTTTGCATATAAAAAATAGTATAGCATAAACTGAGAAAATCCCACTGCAAATAACTGTTTGGTAGCTGTCAATCATATCACATGGCTTTCATCAGCAGAGTGAGTTTAACTGAGAACTTTAAAAATGTTTTGAGCTCACATGAACAACATTTACAGTTCCCCAACAACTGGGCAAAAAGATCATTTGATATAAGCACCAGAACAGCTACTGAGTGGACCATGTGGTGACATTGGTCACACAAGGTCAAGAATTAAATTTGGCCTACAGTATTTATAATATATATTTTATTTCCATTTTGTTCACCTCCTGTTGTTGTCTGAAGATCAGTAGCACCCAGTTCCTCCAGAGAGGCCGGTGCTGACTTCGTTAGGAATAAGTCAGTGTTGGCGAGGGCCACTACAACCATCAGTGTGGCCACAAATGCCAAAGCCCCATACCACACGTTAAACAGCTCCCCCTCCAGGATGAAAGTCATAGCTGGAAGACCAGTGAAAATGAATTATCTTTAAGATTCATAAAATCAGTAACATAATGCACTTCTATTAAGCAAAGTAAAGGGCACAGAATATTTGACGATGTAGAGTTACGGAAACCCCCATGATGGTTGGCCGTTTTCAGTGGACCTTAAAGTGAGATTTTACCAACGGGTGTTTCCAAGATCCAGAATGAACTTTCAATCTCACTATCAAACCATCTAAGGGATGTTAGCAAATTGTTTATTTGAAGGACCACACCCTTCATGTGGGTTATTTACCTTATCAGCTGTACTGTAGCTGCCATTACAGTATTTCACTCCCCCCCATGGAGGAATAAACATGCTGTAAACTAGACCATAACAGATAAATGCCACTACTGTTGGACCCTACTTTTAAAAAAATATAAATTTAATGCATGCACAGCTAAAGCAGGCAAAAATTTAAGTACCAAATACATCCTGCAGTAGAGCCTGAGTTTACTTCTAGATTGTAGGATTTTAGAACAAAAAGGAATACCAACCGGTTTCTATTGTTGTTTCAGATGTACAAAACAGTGACCGCTGAAGTTAATTCATGCTGAAAACACAAAACTCCAAAATGTTGTCCAAACTGTACTTCTGGTCTCCTTACTGCACCAAAAAAGGGCTGGTTTTGAGTGGATGGGATCGAGTTCTCATACTACTAAAAAAAGCCCCCACAGGATGTTTGCTCTGAACAGTCCCACCCTCCACCCAGGAAAATTAAGAACTTTTAGCTTAGGAAGTCCCACTTTCTGAGTGATGAAGTGAATAAAAACAGAACTGTAGAGCACAAAGCCGTGTTTTATTGGTCAAAGGTCTCTCGGGTCCCAAGATAATGCAGCAGTATCACAGAGTAACACTGGAAACTCAGTGTTAGACATCAGGTCTGCTTTCTCTTGAGTTTAAAGACAGACCATCATTAACACACAAGAGTCTTTTACTACGCAGTCATACTGCTAAAAGCATCCAGGTTTTCCCCCCGAGACCAGTACGTCAAACTCAGTTGTGCACTTTAACATTCCTTTTCTCATACATAACCAGATCCTCTACACTGCAATTCAAACATTTTCAACATATATCATTCATATAGTGGTATGGTTCTTTCTTAGCTCTGAAAGACATTAGTTTGTCAAGGTGATTAACTGGTCAAGAACATGGGTTTAAACAGATATGAGCTTCTTATTCACCAGAGTTAATACAAAGCATTACTGCTCTAAAGACATGAGTTCTCCTGATATTCTTCTGGCAGCTCGGATGACATCTCCAATGTTGACTTTATCTCCAAATTCAATCTCTCTGTGCTCCAGAAGTATACCCTTTAGAACAGGAAAAGTTAAAAGGTCAAACATATGAAACAGTTCCAAGTATGCTTGTTTTACTCCTGATGTGATATGTCAACTTGACCATGGAAATTACCTGCTGGCCTTGTCCAATGACGAAGACCCCACCAAGGACAAAGCCCTCTCCCAAAACATTTCCCATGAAGCCATTCTTAAAGGCCCTCAGGCCGTTCATCCACACCCCAACACGCAGGAATGCCAAGAGACCCATCTTCCGCTCGCGAGGTCCATAAAAACGCCTCTGCAACGCAAGCAAACCAACCAAAAGCCTTGAATCCTTCATGGAAAACTAAACTGATTTGCTCCACATCCTGAATAACTTCAGTGTTTACAGAAACTGGCTTGAAGATTGGTTCTGACCAGACAATATACCAATTCATTTCAGGAGAAAAAAAAAAATTCCACCTTTTCATCCAAGAAAATCTCCCCCTTGAAGTACTGTCGGAAGCTCTGGACCTCGGTGCCGACATCCTCCTTCACCACAGCGTACAGAGGGACCCCAAGCTCATCAAGCTGGGGTTTCAGAGAGGACAGCGCTGCGGCCTCCTGCAGCCAATTAGGACAGAAAAGTGGTCAAACAGTGAACAAAAACTTCACCGTTTTGTTTTCATCTGCCACTGCATGTACTACGAATATAAAAAAGGCACTATGTCATCAACTGGTAAATAAATTAGGCCTTTTGTGAAAATAGTTGGTTTACATCATTTAAAAAAGTTTATATATAAAAGAAGTTTATACAGTGGTTACGTTATCAAGCTGTAATCGTAACATGTATTGCACCTAAAACGAGGACAAAGGAAACATCACTTATGATTAGCATTTTCTTAACTGATAAATTGTACTTCTATTGTTATTAACAGTGTGGGGACGTTTAAAAACCTCCACAGACCCTCTGGTTAATGGACCAGTCATTACAAATTCATGCTATGCAGCAAGTGGAGATCCCATACTTCCCATAGACAGGAAGGTAAATGTTATAATATGATGCATAAGACAGATACGATAGGAGAGAGATAACTTGGAGTGTATGGTCTGAATATTTCACTCAATATAAACACAGAGCAGTCTACGGAAGACATCGTGTAATGTCTTTACCATGATGGAAAATAAGAGTAAAAAGGGATCTTAAGGGGGTAAAAATCTCTTTCCATTAAGTCAAATTATTTCAGAAAAATAGTAGGACTAACAATTACAACTGTGACTGCCCTGTCATACACTGGACATACTGTCACTTACCTCTCTGCACAAAAATCATCCAGGTCGCCGCACTGCCATGATGACGGCTCCAGACCCCTCCCACAGAGATCTGGCTTTCACGGTCCTGGTTTCTGAGTGAAGAAATGAGGCAAAAGGGTGAAATAGTTGAGCAACAGACTAAACGCAGATCACTTTGCAGCTAAACAATCTCATTTCAAAACCCATAAGTTAATAAATACAAACTTCTTCGGTGGATAGAGGTCGGACCTACCTCCTTTCAAAGTTTTGAGCTCCGTCTCCTCCAAATGCTTGAGAGTGGCCTTCAGCGGGGGTGTCAGAAATATATCAGTAAAAAAATTCATGACACCGGTTATGACGCCGCCGACTACAGCCACAACGTTAGTTGCGAGTCCCATTGTCCTCGCTCTTTTCTTTTTGTTTTAATTTAATGCATCTTTGCTCCTACCATCGGAGAAACAGCTCCTCTGTGACCGCACCAGCGGCTACAAGCCCTTTTACATTCAAATCAGAAGGCTTGATCACGCGCAGCTGTGTTTGATTAGTGACGCCTTCTCTGGTCTGCAGCGTGAATACAACTGCAGATACTGAAGAATCAAATACAAATCGTTGGCCCTCCTCTTTAAGTTGGTTCAAAGGTCACTGGAGGATAAAATATGCACAGTCACTCGACCAAAACATGAGACGTGGCAGCAATAACGATGCACATTTACACAATAAGCACAGTGTTGCAATCTGCTACATAATTCCCACAATTTGGTGGATTTATTAGAGCTGAATAAAAAAAGATTGACTTGTGCTGGATGTGGCCTATGTTGTAAGAAATAAGTCACATGAACTACCACTACTGCATAGCCTGCTGTATAATAGAGTTTAATCAGACAGAAACACGTTTGGCACAGAGATACTTAAATAAATCCAACAAATAAATAATGAATGGTGATAAATGTTTATTTCTGCCAAACTACATGTATGCTGAGGCCATAAAATTATTTAAACTTCATATTGGATCAGTGAATCGCCAAACAACGCTGACTTGATCACGTATGTTCTGCTTCTTTTTCTTCATCCTGAAAAGCAATACAAAGCTTAGTTAGAACTTATTCACCACTGAAAACCAAAACAACGATCTGAAGTACAAACAGAGATCAAGGACCTTTTGTTTGTGGGAGTGTTTCCTCATTTGAAATAGATCATAAATAATGTTTGTCATTTTCACTTCCTGCCAACTGGCCTACAAAGGGGTCTATTTTCTCCTGGACGTCTTCCATGTGAGGAGGAGAGATTTCAGGTTCCCCCTTGTGTCTCTCATTCAACACTGTCCCCTCTACTGTTACGTCACTGTCAACTGGAACCAAGCTATCCGCCCGTCTGTCTCCTGAGCTGAGGTGGTCAGGATAGTTCAGGTTAAGCATTAAACAGATGTGTATAGTATTGTACTGTCTTTAAGCAGCATCACCTCTGTGTGTTTAGAGTCAGGGGAACGAGGGCTTTGTTTGTCGTGTCGCTCCTCTGTTTTGTCTGTTTGTAAGTCATCAGCGTCTCGGCTGGGAGTCGAGCGTAATGCTTCTGTCTGCTGAGAGTATGTCGTGTCAGCTTGATCAACCACCTGCAGAGCCTTTATGAGACAGAATATGTATTTTAACCATTTTAGTGTCACAGTGAAACATAAGCAGATGTCAGCTGCTCTCACATTGTTTAACATGAACCTTTTCATTTGTTATAAATTAAATGTAATTCCTAAATCAGGCAGGAAAACAGTTGTATATCATGGTAATGTACGGATTCGGCCACAAAACGTCATCACCTTATCCTCATCTTGGTCAACTTTCACTTCTGTTTGGTTGGTGTTTCCTGTTTTCTCTTCTACATGATTGTCAGTTGGCTCCACCTCAGTTGTCTCTTCTGCTCCATTGCTCCTCGGCTCCACTTCGTTTTTTTCATTAGGCACTTCTGCGGACTCCTCTTTGACCTCAGTGCTGAGGGCTTCCGAGGGGGAAGAGCTACCGGCCTCCAAAGGATGTTTCTCTCCAAAGGGAAAGTCTGGATTGGACTCACTTGGATTATCTGTAACCTTCACCTGGCAGAAACACCATCTCCTTAAACCAGTTGAAATAATCTGTGGACTATTTCCGTACCATAGGAGGCAAGTCATGCATTAGAATAAGCAAACTACTTTGTCCCACAGCCCAAAAGACCTTAGCAATGGTCATGAATCAAACCCAAGGATCACAGGAAAACAAACTAGTAGTAGTGATTGCAAAAGATTAGGGAGGCACCACCACCGGAAGCACACAATTTGCGATCTACTTATTATCACCTCCTGTTCAGTGTCCTTTTCCTGAGCTTCAGCTTGGTGTTCGTCTGTGCGCTGCTGGTTTTCGGGATCAGGGGTGTTTGGTTTCTCTTCAGTCATAGGTTTGTTGTCCTCAGCAGCTCCTGTTGTGGCTGGCATGGGTGCATCAGACCCTGTAGACTCCTTCTCGGACATCTGTTGATGTGGTGATGTTGATATGCTCTTGAAATATTTTGCTCAAAATGTCATGTAAAGTATTTTTAAAAATGTCTTTGCTTTTCTGAACCTTCTTCTCTTCTCCCTTCATCCGATGTTGCTCCTAGCTCTTGGTCTTTGCTTAAAATTAACTTAGCAAAAAAGGGGATTATTCAACTTCTAAAGGCTAAATGTTACAAAACAATGTCTGAATCTGACTTAACACAGCAGCACAGACTCAAACTATGAATAAATGAAAACAACAGTGACATCTGTCCCTCCAGCAGAACAAGAAAACTGGATTAAAAGGTGGTTTTAGATGAACAGAGGTAAATGGAGGTTCAGTGACATTATCTCTGTGTAATCAGAGTTAGGGTTAAGTTAAAACACAAACTGAGACCGTTACAGGGATTCTGTTACACAACATACTTTTTTAGACTCTTCCAGGGCCTCACTGAACTTTCGCTCCTCCTCCCTCAGCCTTTCCTGGTACAACGCCTCTTCTCTGGCTTTCGCCTGCTCCTGCTCCAGCTGTGCCAAATTGGCCTTTTTCTGCAAATAACAAAAGGGGTACAAAAACAAGGCTTGTGACTGAGAAAAAGGACCCCACAACACCTTTTTATGAACATAGGTGCCTGTAGTTTTAAGGCTTGTGAAGGGTTTTGCCCATAGATCTCCTGGCATGCAGGGCTCTGTAGGAATTTCTGAATGTAAGCTAAAGGTACAAGGTTACTGGGATTTCAATAAGCTTTATAGCTCTCAGCCTGAGGAGCTTAGGCTGTCTAAGTCTCCTCCATCCTTTACTGCAGTTCTCAAAACCTATTTGAAGATCAAGGCTTTGAGGTAGTAGTAGTAGCAGTAGAGGTAAAGGCAGAAGTAACTTTAGTACTTGCAGTTTACTAGCTATCAATATTTCCTACAGCACTGCATTCAAAACATAACTTCTGATTAGGGAAGTGATTTTTCTATCCTGTAGCTAGTAGCATGGTTTTATTCAGATAAATTTCTAAATAAAAGAATCGCTACTACACTACAAGAATAGTCATTTAAAAGCCTTGCATTAAAACGTGTCTTAAATGAAAGTATTTAAGTATTATTAAGAAAATGTGTTTATAGGTTTATACCTGCATGAATGTGTCTTTGACCACTTGGGTCAGTGGAAACACGCTGTATCAGCATAGGTCAAACTCAATTGCACGTTAATATACTTCTGGTGAGCTGATAACAATCACTCTCTTTTAAACTCAGTTTTCTGAGAAAAATATCTGGATCTTTAGAAACTAATATAGTCACTAGCTGTCAAATAAATCTGGAGTAAAAACATAAAATAGCAGAAGTAGAAGATTAAAATAAAGTAGGAGTATCTCAGGCTTGTATTTAAGCACATTAGGCTGCATGTGTACTTGTTATTTTTAATTTGTAATGTTAAACTACATTTAAATACAGACTGAAAATGAAGGAAATCCATCCATCCATCCATCATCAACCGCTTATTCTGCGTACAGGTACAGTCTATGGTACAGGGTCTGGAGCTGGAGCCAATCCCAGCTGACAGGCGGGTACACCTTGGACAGGGGCCAATTAGTCATAAATATGAATTAGAAATAAAATAAGTCTCCCTGGTTTATACTGTAGAGGACATACAGCGCTTAATACACATATGTTGTGTATTACTGCCCCCTGTTGTCAAGGAAACACCACAGCAGCGTACCTCCGTCTCGTATTTTACATTTGCGTTGTACTTGTACAGCCAGTGGGCGAGATACAGGATGGGGTTTACAGGGCGCCGCTCGGCCACTTCAGCGAGTCCCTCTGCCAGACATTTCCCCAGATGTCTTCTCAGATACTCAGAGTCCATGTTTTATTTTCCTGCGTGGATAATTTAAAAACACAGCTTAAATTTACTTTGTGACCATCAAACTTGAGCTAGGAACTTGAAAACAAACTGTCTCTTGCTCTTTTTGACGTTAATGTTTACTTCCACTGTAACAACTATGTTTACTGTGTATTATTTATGTCGCAAGTTAAATTTAATAATTCATTTATCACTTCATAAATAAAACAAAGGCGAGGACATCACCAAAACAAACCTTTTCCACCCAGCATCCGCATGTTGTTGTTGTGTCTCCGTGGTGACGGTGTCACGTCATTAATGCGCCCCTCATTCCCTTAAACTCGGTTCCTACCTCTTTTATACAGTTTGTTTCCTACTACCGTTGATGCTCCAGCTACTACTCGTACTGCTGCTATGGCTGATCATAATAATAATAAACACATAGTGATAGTTGTCTTGCCTGAACTTTATTAATGCCCCACAGGGAATTAAAAAAATGCACCTGTATGTAGCCTATAGGCCTATGCATATAAATAACTGTAATAAATATATATATATAATTTTATTTTATTTTATTTATATGTTACCATATTTAAATTAATTGTCCGTTAAAATCTGTGTGTGTACCATGAAGGGACTACAAACTTTCTACAACCTTGTGTTGTATAATGATGAATAAACTACCTTGTACCTTGGAAACTGAAGTGCAATTGAAGGCCAGCAAAAGTACAAGAACAGAATCACAGTAGCCTTATAGAAAGCTCATTTTAAAAAACAAATATAGCCTACTATATAGTCTACATAATAGAATACAATATACATAGATTTCTATATTCATGTAGCCTAAATACATTATAAAATAAATCAATCAAATTAAGCAAACATAAATAACTAAAATGATAACAAGACTAAAGTAAATCATAATAAATAAAAAATAAAAAATAAAGTCAGGAGACAAGGAAATGCACTGGGACAGAGTTTTAGCAGAAAGCAGATTTAGGGTATTTATAGTCTGTCAGGAATAAAGTGCTGGGATGTCCCACAACTTTCTCCAGCTTAATGAAAACAAATCTTAAATCATTCTCAGGCCTTCAGCTGGAACAAAAGGCAGCGGCTTTTAACAAATATTAGAAGACAAGATCATATCAGTCCTGTTTGAGCCTTTCTTCACTGGTTATGTTGGTTTTAGAATTAATTTTAAGATTTTACTGATCACCTTTAAAGCACTTATTGGTTTACCTCGCAGTTGCTCATCTGCAGATCTTCAGGCAGGGCTCTGCTGCTGTTCTTAAGTCCAACTCAAGACTAAAGGTGACCAGACTTCTGCAGTCAGGGCTTCTCAGATCTTAAACTCCTTGCCTGAAGATCTGAGGTTGCAGAATCACTTTTCTGAAAATGTATCCTTTTAAAAAAGCGTTTTAGTAATGCTAGCAAACCGTTTTAATGACTTTCATTTTTATATTGTATTTTGTATTTTAAATGTCTGATTTTATTTTCTTCATCTTGCTTCATTCAGTCTTGAAATGTTTCAACCATGTAAACCACTTTGTATCTTTGCTTTGAAAAGTACTTTATTATTAACTTTGTCACAGCTCCTGAGGGGAAAGAAGAGTCTTGATGACTTTTTATTTTAGGTTGTAGAAGGACTAGTGCCATGATATGTTATATTGTATAACATGAAAACACTGAAAAGATATCCCAGAATTAACCCTTACAGAACCCCACTGTTATATGGAACATTTTAATATTAATTTATTTGTTAGTGACAAAGCCTAGGCCATATTCCTTGAATATTTAATGTCATTTTAAATGCACACTTTCCTGAATCCCAGACAGGTTGCTTACGTGTGAGAGGAGAACGCGGGGGAAATTTCAGCACGCTCAGTTTCCAAGAAACAGATGACACCCAGTTAACATTTGTAATCACAGATATCATTTTCCTCGTATAATCATACTACACACCTTTCAGCCAAATATAGCCTTCACAACGACAGGAGGACTCACCCAATCAGACTGTGAGAAGTGCACTGATGCAGTCCTGTCTCTCTTGATACACAGGTTATTTAATCGAATCTATCCAAAATCTGCTTAGTTTGATCTTTGACAGCTACACGCCAACATCAGTTATTTCTCTCACTTGTAACCCAAAACATTCTCACCCTGTACTATGACCTTAAGCCGTTTTTCGTCCTGTGAACATGTCTAGGACCATGGTGTCAAGCTCACTTTCATTAATCATAAGAGGGCGTATGAAGCACTGCGATTATAATATTGTGTCCACCGTTTTTGAAAATGTATTTTTTCTTCTAACAAGGAGAGATTAAGAGTTGCCAAAAAACAAAACACACTGATATAAGGACCAGGCTGAATAGAAAATTAAAAGTCATTAGCTGCCCTCTGGTGGTTGTATCTGCAACAAACCTTTGGGGGATACAATATAATTCTTTAATACTTCCAATTGCTTGTCAGTGAAGGCCAACAAACCATGGATTAATTGCTACTTTGATTAATTAGGCTTTTAGGACTGTTTCTTTTCTAATTATCTGTGCAAAGCACTTTTTTGTAGGCCTAAGATATATTTTTTACCCCGTTCATATAGACTTCACCAAAAACACAAGGAAGTTTTCATAATGTTTCATGTGCTGACAGAAAGAAAGGCTGTCCACATATTTCCACCTCATGTCCCTACACTTCTTTATGAAAAAACAAACAAACAAAACATCATCTGACAACCACAAAAAGTATTTAAATCCTCACTTGTTAAAAATGTTAAAACCAGCTCTTCGGCTGCACTTACAAGAACAAAGCAGCTTTGTCAGTGTGTTTAGGCAGTTACAACAATCAGTTGGTATAGCCTAATAGTTACTTTTTTTTAACATGGACAACCTGTAGGGTCCTTTATAGGGTTTCAAATGTGCACATACTATTGATATTGCACATTACATTATCTGCTGGCATTTTATTACTATTCGCCTAATTCATGTTCTGGGTACACTGCCTGGTTGCATGTTGTGTATGCTGTGTGCCTTGTGTAGCTACTTGTTTTGTTGTTGTTGTTTTTTTTTTAATACAAATAATCCCTGGTGAGATTAATAAAGTTGTTTGAACTTGAACTTGATCTTGGACTTTTCAACTGCACACACTCCAAAATACAACAAACAAGAACTGAAACATGGACAAATAAATGCCTAATATCAGTCTGTGCATGAGTTAGGAAAGTTTAAAACTTTCTAATAACATTATCAGTAGCCTAATTCATAAATAAATATAGCCTACACATTCCTCAACAAAAAATATTAAGGTCTAAAGAAACATATCAAGAGCTCTCCAGTGCACACTAATAAAAGATTAGACCTAAGTGACAAATAACAGATAACAATCGTCATTATAACAATAACAATAGCCTATAAATAGATTTTGTGATCTGCCTGAACAAATTATTTCTAAACCGGATCTTGTAGCAGGACCCCCGTTTTAGCGGTTCACTGAAACGCTGGCTTTACTTTTAGTAACAAAGTTGTAAATTCGCCTGCCCCTCGAAATGCGTGCAGGGGCGACCAGCTGTGTGGGAACGGGAAGCGGTTCCGCTGCTGAAGTGTCAAAGGTCTGATCTGATCCTACCTGGTGCAGCTCCTCCTGTTTCACTGCAGGACACCACTGCGTCAGCAACAGCTGTCCTGTAGCCCCGCGCTGACTGCCAGAAGGGGAGAATTACGTCCTCAGTGGAAGACTTCACGGGAGACTTGATTTTTTTTTCAAGTTTCTTGGATTCAGGGGAAATATTTGATGTGCCTTGCAAGGTAAATGCAACCTGCCTTCTGTTGTCTGCCATGGGCCGTTGAGTTTATAAAAAAATGCTTTCAGACTGCAGGTTGAAGATTTTTACTTACAGGTTTCTGAATGGCTTTGATGCTATCTTAAGTGGTCATGAGTTTGCTTGATGTGTATTACTTCCCTTTCTCTGGATGAAATGGACTTACTCAGCATCTTTCTGGTTTTAAGATAGCTGTGTTATAGTAGGGTATTTTGTGTGGGCTAATGGTTTAATTTTCCCTCCTTCTCATTTGGACTATGGTGAAACCTAACCAGCAGAACCACTGGCTGTTTGATTGTTTTTAAAGAGCAGTTTTCATTTAAAAGGTAGAAAAATATGTACACTGTAAAGGAAGTATGGTTGTTTTTCTTTGTGCTCAAAATAATTAGTTGCACAGCCAAAGAAATGAAATGCAAAGTGTGAGTTTTAATGTGAGCGCCTTTGTTCTAATAATAAGCATGGACCTGTAATTGAGCTTAGGTCAAATTTGGAATTGGTAGATTTATGGCTTCTCAGCAGGGTTTTTAAGTCCATCCTTATGAGCAAGGGTGTGGGTGTTTGCGTTGTGAAGGTGCACGCACATCCATAGGTGAACATGTGTTTTACTAGGTCTATTAGTATTATTAGGCTTTACAGAGAGGAAAGACTGCAGCATGAACATCATAACAGGCCCTTGTCTTCACCTGCCAGGTGAATATCTCTCTTGAGGCACATGTCTGTAATGTCTAGTGTGGACACTTTTCAACCTGCTCAATCCCCACTATGCCCTCTCCCTCAGAGCCAAAGTTTTATTTTTAGCCCATGTCTTCATGGCAGATGGGCAAGATACTGTGATGCTGTGGATGCTCATACCCCACCATTTCTCTGCAGTTAATCCATGTTCCCCATATCAGAGGTGTGGGACTACAGAGACAGCCTGGCTCCAGGCAGGCAAAGCAGAGCTTTGGACACAGTGGAAGACGTGGAGACTGATTTTCATATTAGATCATGCCAACAGTGCTTCTGCAACTCTTATGTAACAGGATACCCTCCGACAGTGGAGGGCCAGCAGTAGGCCCAATTTCAACATGGAAGGGGATCATCAGGTGGTGTTTTTAAGTTCTTAGAATGAGTTTTGTTTGCACATTGCATCATTTATCTTAAATATTTTTAATTTATAATCACCTCTATGCTATATTCTCCACTGAGAATATATGTGTCTTGTGGTAGATGGCATAAAATATAGTATATATAGTATATATAGTATAGTATATATATTAATCATGCATAATGTGTACAGATGTATCTCTGTGGTCTTCCTCTGCCTGAGTTGTGTTTGTGTGTCTTGTATCACATGTTCTTGGACGCAGAAGGTGTCGGTTTTGAGTTTCTTTCACCAAGTGAGCCCATGTGACTGCTTGGCTAGGCCTCTGTATTTTCCAGAGTATTCAAAAGGTGAAATAAGGTTAAAGATAAGTACAACTTTTCCCCCCCAAAATTTACCATCTAATTTCTTCATCATTTCTAATCTTATGTGTTCAACATAACGTTATGTTTCTTTCCCCGTCAGAATATTATGTGACAGATATAATGTTTTTTTGTTAACATTTTGTTTTAACCCGATGGTTTGAACATGAGTAGCTCCCTCGTAGATGTCTGTGTTTTTTAAGGACTCGATTGGTGTTATGAATATGATAATAGCTCCCCCTGGGCCTTCACAGGCTGGATGGAATATTCTCATATCATTTGCCCATGTAATCTACTCAGATTTCTGTGCAGCTAGTGCAAATGCCAAATGGGTCAGTTTGAGACAATGAATTATAAGCGGTATTATACTACATCAAAGAACAACATTATTCCTAGTTACCTACCAAAAGTGAATATTTTATTTACAAATAACATTTATGGTTAATTCCAAACCAGCTTCATTCACTTTTTAAACCTTCTACTAGTTCAGATCTAAGACTATGCGACGGTTTATTAGTACCCGAAAGGCTCACATTCTGCCAGCAACATCATATTATTATGCTGCCATTTTCCAGGAGACCAAGAGAGTTGTGGTGAAACATTTCCTGGGCCATGGTCATCCAGACACATTGTTTCGCTGCGTCCTCATAAAGGTCTGATTTTTAAATCAGTATGCCTATGTGTCTCCGTAAACCATCTGACCATCCGACTGCACCAAGGTGATTACACTAGGTCTTCACAGCTCCTCGGTATGCAGCGACAGTGGCATACCATGAATGACAGCAGCTTTACTCTTAGCAGCAACATAATGCATGTAGGGATAATTTGCAACTACAGTCCAGTGTGCACACATTTGATAAAGACATCAAAATAAGAGTGACAGACTCCTAGAGTTTGACCTTGAGTAGTTAATGAGCCGATGATCATTTAAATTCTGGTCTGTTTTAATATGGTTTCCTATAGGGTTTGAAATACAAGGTTAACTGGTGGGTGACAGGGTGTTGAAGCAAGCTGGGAGAGCGAGGTACAGTGCTGCGATTTGATCCCGTGAGAAAACAGGGGGGAACAGGAGTATGGAAAACGTCAAAGGACATGTGGATAAAAGCTCTTGTTTGCTCTGTAGATCTGTTGTTTACAACCTAACCACATTCCAGGAATGTAAGTGTTGTATAACGAGGGGACTGAGACTTGCCATGTCGCCTCTCATCTTTGAACTCCCAGCATTTTCAGGGCACCAGAGTTAACAAGTCATTGAAATTGATTAAATTATTAGGTCCTTATACCTCTTCATAATGTACGACTTCGGTTCTTTACTGTTAATGAAAAGACAGCACAACCCCTCTCGCTGCATGAACTCGTGCTGCCCTCTCCACAAAAGCCAAAAGCTAGTTCGGTTAGTTTCCGGAGGTGTATATTGGCATTTGCGTTCCACAGCCGGCTAGTGTAACGAAGAGGTGTCTACATTACCCCGTCTATATCCTCAGCTGGAATGTCACAGGTCACATGGACTTCACTGACATGCAAAGTGATATATATATATTACTGTCGGGGAAGGCTTCTGAAATCTAACAATCCCCCCCCCCCCCCTTCCTCAGTTTGCCACCTGTCCACAGTGTGCCTGAACGAGCACGGTCATGTAATTGATTGTCTTCAGCTAGACTCTTAAAATCAAACCAGTGCTGGAAAGTAACTAAGTAGATATGAACTGTGCTCAAGCAAAGATTTTATTACTCTACACCATTACACTTGAGAGAGAAATATTGTAGGTTTACTACACAACATTTAGTTGATAGTTTACAGATAAAAACATACAATAAGCTTATAAAATACAACACTGTTAAGATTATATTGTTTAAAGTGGCCCTTTGCCATGTTTCAGATGTCTGAGTTGTTTGCAGTTTCCATGATTATTTCATTTAAATAACTGTTTGAGGCCCTTTTGACCTCTCAAATTTATCTTGGGACCCTTAGGAGGGGCCTGACCACTAGGTTGGGAACCACTGAACAAAACTCATAAACATAAACTAAGTATTAATGTCATGTATAATAAGATCAGTCACAGTGGCCATTGTACTGCAGAGGGAGTACTTTTACATTTGATACTATATTACTATAAGTATATTTTCCTGATAACACTTCTATAACGTTACATTAAGTGGAACTGTGAATGAAGAACTTTTACTTGTAATGGAGTATTTTTACATTTTTGTCTTGTTAGCATACTTTTAGTTAATTAGGAACTTAATGAAGTTAAGGAACTGACTACTTCTTGCAGCTCTGACAGAGGACTGTATCTCTGGAGATGTTTTATGATGAGATTAAGCATGATATACAGAATCTATTTTGACTGATACTGAATATCGCACTCTTGCCTGTACTCTTGGCTCTTCCATTTGGAGAAACGCACACTGACAAATGTAGCTGCAAAATTTAACACGTCGCCAAAATGTATTATTTACCTAGCTGACGCAGGAGGCGAGGCAACAACCTCTTCGAGAGGACTTTTTTGATTTTGGCAGGCTTTCAATTGAGGGACCAAGCTTTTTTTAAAAAAGGACATTTGATGGCTTCAGCAGTAACGGTGTGATGTAATGCAATCAGGAAATGTTCCCCATATGCCACAGAGAAACACATCCATTCTCAGGATGTGTATTTTAAGGTTGGCTCACGGTCGAGAGCAGCGGGGCCCATGGCTCCCAGAATGGGGGTTCTGAAACAGGATGATGAGGCGGGAAAAAGATTAAGGTAGGTGTAGAGCTGCCCAGGTTGCCTTCTGACCAAATGGTGCTGACAAACTGTTGATAGTGGTAATAACTCTAAAGTTTGGGAGTTTATATTTGTAGGATATAGTGACACATGTAATAGTATTGTTTAGAATAGAATAGAACACAACTTTATTGTCTAGCCTTGGTCATATTTGGTCTCACCAGACATAAAAACATATATTTAAAGGACAAAAGAGACCATGCCAGGATTAGGAATGGGGGCTTTGATGAGTGTTTAGATGGAATGACTGAAGTCTTCTGCGTTGCATGAAAGAGGGATTGAGAGCCTCAAGTGTCATGTAGCGGGACAGTGGTGGGGGTGTAAAGTGCAGATCTGGGTGCAGAGTCGGAAGCTAAGTGTGTTTGGGGCCCCATGTAAAATAGAAGGTAGTAGAGAGAGGAGTCAGCTCGGTAAGATAAGTTGGCATGCGGTCCTGTTTATCGGAGAGATGTGAGGCGCAGAGCGAAGGCTCAGCCAGGAAGGAATGAGCAGAGTCATCGGGCCTCTGAAACACGACGCTCTGTCTTGATTGCCTGTAGCAGCTGGGGAGCCATCGTATCTGTGCGAGTGTGTGCGTCTCCTCACATGTGTGTGAATGTGTGCAATTTTCTGTTCAAGTGAGGTGGTTTGAGGGGGTATTAGCCTACATTAATGTGTGTGATTAGTGGCTATCACTGTGTATCGATGAATGTACCTCTTGTTGCCACGTTGATAGGTCTGTTTGATCTCTGTGTCTTTGTGTGAACTCAAGAACTATAGTCAGCTTCTTTGTCTTTTTTGGTAATTTATGATATTTTTACATCATCTATCGTAGTTTCAGACAATAAACTTTAGTGGAGGGCATTGCATGAAGTGATGTCAGAAGGTGACAACCAAACATTGTAGATTTTTTGGCACTTGATTGTGTCTATAAATTATATGTGTATCTGTGGGGTTTTGCTGTACAACTGTGTATTCAAACAACTTTCCTTAAATCGATTTCTTATTAGGTTAAGGCTCAATTCTAGTTATGCTGAATTGTTGTCTTCAAAATGTTTTCAAATGCATTGTGCATTTTATTCAACTTAAAATTTTGCAATATTTGCAAAATGCGTATATATTCTGATATATATTCTGATATATATTCTGTTTGATTTACAAATAAGTAGGCCTATTTATTGAATAATAAAACACCGCCTTTGGGTTAAGTGTTTGTAAAATTATGTAATAGTAAACGACAACGAATACTCATGGGGAAGCATATATATCTTATTTTATATTGGTCCATCCTATGTTTTAACAATTTTAAAGGAAAATAGCTTACTTGAAGGAACATGTACTTCTTTATTATGTCCATAATAGAAGAAGCTGCTACAGATGAAAGCAGACTGGTTGCTAAACACATCAAAGGATGTAAGCAGATGCCACTTGGACCCGATATGGAGCGTCTGCTAAGCTAATAAGTAATTTGATGTACACAAGTAATGTCATGGTCTCTTTAGAACGGTGGGAAAGTCCGAGCTCTCGTCCTGAGTGTGTCTAGTCATTTAGTTACCATCTTGATGCTTTTAAGTGCTTGTGGTGTCGTGACTGTTACAGGGTCAGAGATGTAGGTCACAGGGTGGAGGGCAGGAACGATGGAGGGTGAGGGGGTTGCCGACGGATCAAGGCAACTTAGACCTATGATCACTACCAACAGTCAGGACACGTATGGAGACTTTTAGTACAGGGGTTCCCAAACGTTTTGGTTTATGACCCCTTTAAACAAAGATGTCACACGCGATCACCATCACATGTTTCAGATGTCAATGAGTTTCAAACAGCTCCAGCAAAGAGTGATGTCCCCATCTAAACTTTTCAGATTGTTTCATTTAAATAATAGACACAAGAAGAGGTAAAATGAGGCTTTTTCACAAAAAAAGCAAAGACAAAAATCACGGAACATAAAAATTTGTGTAACAGAACCATTTTTTTTCTTCCCTCCCCCATAAATCATCTCAGGACTTCTCAGATTTATCTTGGGGTCCATGTGAAAAGTCCCAAAACATTTGTAATGCAAGGATTACTGCAAATTATTTGATTAATTGATCATCTAAAAATTAATAGATGACTTTATTAATTGTCAATAAAAGTATTTTATCATGTTAAAATACCAAAAATGTATCCATTTAATGTTACTGTAAATTAAAAACTTTTGAGTTTTTAGACTGTTGGTTTGACAGGCTCTGGTGGCTTTTGTTGTCATACTAATTGATAGATTGAAAAAATATATAATGCATAAATGAACAGTACAAAATATTATAGCAAATAACAATTATTTTATTACTGCTTAATATGCTCATTATTTTCTTGATTAATTGATTCATTGTTTGATCAATAAAATGTCACAGAATAGTGCAAAATGTATAGTAATAGTTTGATAAAGCTATAGGTGATGTCTTCAGATAGCAAAAATTTACACTTGAGAAGCTGAAGCCAGTTAATGTTTGGAAACTTTGCTAGAAAAAACTACTGCCACAATTAATTGATGAAATCAATGAAAATACAGTATTTGATAAAAAACTTTCTTTTGAACGACTAATTATTAGTTTCATTGGTTTTTAAAGTTTCCAAATCAGATCATAAAATTGATGCTTATGGCATAGACTGTATGCCATTAGTTTGTGGGCTACCATTTTTAGCATTTTAGCCATCGCCATCTTGTTTGTTTTTGGAACCAGAAGTATATTTGGACAAAAGGGTGGCGTTTGGGAGGATAGGCGGCGCTACCAAGCCCCCAGGAAGTGCAGTGTGCTTTAAAGCCAATTTGAGATAGTGGCCAAACCGAGGAATTACAACTTCTGAGGCTATAACATGATGAAGAGGGGCCCCAAAATCCCCCATAGACCTACGTTTTGAAAGCAACGACTGCAAAATGGTAGATAATTTTTCAGAGTCAGATCCCCAACAAAACAATTTTTTCACTATTAGAATTTGATCAGTTTGGTCAGATTCTTTTATCCCCATTCAGATAATAACTTATTATAATTTAGACCCCTTTTTAATATCGGAGGTTCCTGCTTGGCTTAGGATGTGGAGGTCATGGCTTGAAGGTCATGCTCTGTGTGCATGCTACATCTGGACCCTCAAATCTGTGGTTGATGATGTATTATGTTCTCTGCATTCACTCATCATCCTGCCTCCAGCTCCTCCTAGGGAAACCCCTTTGCGGCGGTATCCCTTCGCGATGCAAAGATGGCGAACCTGCTCCCTCCCCCAGGCACCGATGCGTTCCGCCGCTTCACCCGGGAATCGCTGGCGGAGATCGAGAGGCTCGCGGAGGAAAGAAAAAAGGCCGCAGAAGTAGAGGGCCATGAGGAGGAAACGGCCCCATACGCTGATCTGGAGGCGGGCAAGAGTCTGCCCATGATCTTTGGAGACCCTCCAAAAGAGCTGCTCAACACACCTCTGGAGGACATGGACCCCTTCTACAAGACACAGAAAGTGAGTCTGAGCACATCTGGGCTCACATGGCATAGAAAAGCTCCACTGAAACCCAAATGCACTGTGCACAGGGGGTATTTAATGAGCTTGACTCTGTCCTTACATAACCTTGAAATATGACAGGATGTATTACTGAACATAAAGTTATTACAGCTGCATACAGTATCCTTTACCCAATGTATAGAATTTCATTTGTGGGATGCATATGTTAAAGTTAAATCTTAAAGTATTATTTCAGGATTGTCATCGCTAAGTATTTATTGAAATGTCGAAAGTATTTTTGGACTGCATGCTAGCTTGCATTTACAGTATCCAGACAATCTCTGTGTTTTTCAGACATTCATTGTGATCAGCAAAGGAAACACAATCTACAGGTTCAATGCTGAACCGGCCTGCTACATTCTGAGCCCCTTTAGTTTGATTAGAAGAGGAGCCATTAAAATTCTCATACATTCATATCCTTTGACCTATTGTTGCCTTAGTTTTAGAATGATTTAGTTTTATTAAGGGTTTGACCTGGACATAAAATGATGCAGAGGTTGAGAAATTACTAAAGGGGGGAAATTTCAGCTAATACATGTAATGTCCATGTTTGTTTCCTTAATCCTGAATTAAATTATTTAGCATGTTCATTATGATTACAATTCTATCGAATTGTGTATTCATGACGATGAGCAACCCACCAGCATGGAGTAAAACTGTTGAGTGAGTACTTCCTCATTGTAGGTTGGCTTTTAGACATTCCTGTGTTGCATTTAATACAGCATATACTAATTTGTGTTGCACAATTTATTCCTAGGTATGTTTTTACTGGTATCTATACCTTTGAGGCAACAGTCAAAGTGTTGTCAAGAGGTTTCTGTGTTGGATCTTTTACATTCCTTCGAGATCCATGGAATTGGCTGGATTTCATGGTGATCAGCATGGCGTAAGTATCTGAGTGGACTTTCATCTAAACATATATTTGCATTTCAAGTCAGAAAAATGGTTCTGATGTTCTTATCATTACATTTTACCCAAATTGAGTGCATACATTGCTGCTAAACAGAAGTTACAGTTTAAAAAATAAACATTTTTGTGTACTATGAAAGCTGTTTCTCATGGTGCAGCTAATTCAAATATGAAAATTAAAATGTACCATGTTTAATCTTTTCGGGGTATTGGCTTTGATAAATTGTTTTATCTCTTTCCACAGATACATCACTGAGTTTGTTGACCTTGGCAATGTGTCAGCCCTCAGGACATTTCGTGTACTTCGAGCCCTTAAAACAATTACTGTGATTCCTGGTATTTTTTATATTTTCTATATATTTTTTATTTTTTGTGTGACAGAGTATATTAAAAGTTTTCTAATGTTGCAATGGCATTTTGTTTTGTGATATGAATAATAGTGTAATTGCACTCAACAGATTATCATTTGTTGTTGCAGAGCTGTTTGATTTTGAGAGATATACCAGCAACATATAAATTGTACCTTGTCAGGTTTGAAAACCATCGTGGCCGCTTTGATCCAGTCAGTGAAGAAAATGGTGGACGTCATGATTCTGACCGTCTTCGCTCTTGCTGTTTTTGCCCTTGTTGGTCTTCAACTTTTCATGGGAAATCTGCGTCAGAAATGTGTGCGATGGCCCATCGAAACAAATGAAACTGCATTTGAATTTTTCAACACCACTACCGCATTTAATGAAACTGTCTTCTTCAACAACACCATGAGCTTCAATGATACAACATATAACAACAGCACCTTCAATTTTATTGACTATATTGAAAACCCAGGTATGTTGAGCACATATTACATCTCTTATTTAAGCTGTGCTCAGCAGAATAGACTTCACAATTTATTTTCTTGTTGGTTTATAGATAATCACTATTATTTGGAAGGCAGCCTAGATGCCCTTCTTTGTGGAAACAGCTCTGATTCTGGGTATGTATTATCTACACTGAGACTGCCATGCTAATTTGGTCTGGTCACCTTTCAAATATGTGTGTGTCTTGGTTCCACGACCATTTCAAAGGTTTCCATGTAGAAATGCCTCTTATTGACATTTATCACAATAGTATGGTGTTGAGTGTGACTTGGAGTCTGGGAGAGTAATTGTTGGTTGCTGACTTCTTTGTTGATAGAAGGTGCCCAGAGGGCTACACATGCATGAAGGCTGGGAGGAACCCCAACTTTGGCTACACCAGTTTCGACTCTTTTGGCTGGTCCTTCCTGGCCCTCTTCAGACTCATGACCCAGGACTATTGGGAGAACCTTTTCCAGCTGGTTGGCACTTCTTTCATTTGTTGCAAACAGATTTATGACCTCTAACTTTTCACTTTAAAATTAAAGCCATGAAAAGAAACGTTTCCTTAGTTCTCGTAGCTTCTTTTTTGCTTCAAACACAGATCCTGCGGGCGGCTGGTAAGACATACATGCTGTTCTTTGTGGTGATTATCTTTCTGGGCTCCTTCTACCTCATCAACCTCATCCTGGCTGTGGTAGCCATGGCTTATGATGAACAGAATCAGGCAACTCAGCGAGAGGCCATAGAGAAAGAGGAGGAGTTCCAGCGGCTACTAGAGCAACTCAGAAATCAGGAACAGGTAACTTTTACAAGCAATAAGGAGACAACTAACCAAACAGCTATATTAACTTAAACATACCTGATCAGAGCAATGACTGGTTGTTGCCATGTGACAGCTTATACAAAAAATTAAGGATATTTTGCTTTGTTCATTAGTACAGAATTGTGATAAATAACTGCAATATCATCCAATCCAATCCATTTTATTTATATAGCACATTTTTAAAAAACAAAAGTTTACAAAGTGCTGGACAAGAAATAAAACATAAAAACACATATAAAACACAGAGAACACAGAAAACAACATAAGACCACACAGTTTTCATGCTGGGTTAAAAGCCAGGTAAGACAAGTGAGCTTAAATTTCTTGAGTGGTAAAACGTAGCAAAGGTGGAATTGAAAGTGTCAGTTGTCAACAACAAATAAGTCCTAGTTTGTCGTAAAATTAAAGCAGTTAGAAGAACTGTATTTTTATTTATTTCACAGGCTCAAGCTCTTGGGAGCCAAGCTACTCTAACCAGTAAGAAGTCGCGCAGTCATCACTCCATATCTGAGTTGGCAGATGATGAACTGAGCCTTGAACCTGATGAAATTATCAAGGATTGTAATGGGAGAGTAGTTCCCCGTCTGATGATCAGATCGCCCACCATGGTCGAGGTTGGTCAGTCGTCATTTTAAAAAGCCTTGGGTTTTGATTTGATTTGTGTTCTGAGTTTCCATCAGGAGCTTACTGATTTATCAACATATTTTACAGTCTGCTGCAGATTGTGAACTCAGGGAGAAGTCAGTAGGCTCTGTGCACAGCATGCTTCATCTGGATGAACCAGGCCTGACACAGAGATCTGCTAGTGCTATGACTGTGCTCACTGCAGCTGCTATGGAAGGTATGCAGATAGAAACTTAACATTGATAATGCACCAACAATTGTCATACAGAATACCAAGATACAGGATTTATTTTCTAGCTTTGATTAAACTTAATAAACTGACAACAGGAAACCAGCGGCAGGGTGTAAGCATCTAGATGTGTCAAGTTTCTCTAGGGAATTAAGAAATACACAAGGCTTAGTTGCAGTGGATGCTCTAATGTGAGTTGTAATTGCTTAGATTATCAAGCACTTGTGAACATTATACACAATTTATCCAAGGCCAATACAGTAGCATTGTCTTGAGCTTGCCATAGTTGGGCTAATCACATTGTGTGCTGGAGAAATCCTTGTCAACATTCAGTGTCACGCCCTTGTGGTGTTAGGCTATTTAAGCTCAACTATAACTTAGCACATACAACACAAGAATTTTAATGTCACTCATCACTGCTCTCTGTTAACTGTATCATGTTACATTTATAGACGACCGAAATGTTTTGATAAAATGATGGTAGACTCCCTAATTGTTCTTCCTGTATCTCTTTGTCTAGAGTTAGAGGATGCTCAGAGGCCGTGCCCACCTGGCTGGTACAAGTTTGCTGACATGTTCCTGAAGTGGGACTGCTGCGTGTACTGGGTGGTCTTTAAAAAGTGGGTTCACTTTGTGGTGATGGACCCTTTTGTTGACTTGGGCATCACCATCTGCATCGTGCTCAACACCCTCTTCATGGCCATGGAGCACTACCCCATGACCCCAGAGTTTGACTACATGCTCTCTGTGGGGAATCTGGTGAATATGTGCTACATTCAATTTAAAATTAATTTCAGAAATGCTCTTCCATCACAGACATGATTTTGTAAGCGCCTGTAAAAGAAATGTATACCCCTATAGGTGTTCACTGGGATCTTCACAGCAGAAATGTTTTTCAAGCTTATAGCCATGGATCCCTACTACTACTTTCAAGTTGGTTGGAACATTTTTGACAGCATCATAGTCACGCTCAGTCTGGTAGAGTTGGGGCTGGCAAACGTCCAGGGGCTGTCTGTCCTTAGGTCCTTCCGTCTGGTGAGATACAATCATTTAACTTGTTTGTATCCATTTACCACAAAGAGATTACTTCCTACGTTAATATTCACTGTCTTTGTTTGTGTCTGTCCTGTGTTGGAGACAGCTTCGTGTTTTCAAACTAGCCAAGTCCTGGCCTACGCTCAGCATGCTGATCAAGATTATTGGTAACTCAGTAGGAGCTTTAGGTAACCTGACTTTGGTGCTGGCCATCATCGTCTTCATCTTCGCTGTGGTGGGTATGCAGTTATTTGGCAAGAGCTATAAGGACTGCGTATGCAAGATCTCCTTGGATTGCGAGCTGCCACGCTGGCACATGAACGACTTCTTCCACTCGTTCCTTATCGTGTTCCGCATCCTGTGCGGGGAGTGGATTGAGACCATGTGGGACTGCATGGAGGTGGCCGGAGCAGGGATGTGTTTACTTGTCTTCATGATGGTCATGGTCATTGGAAATCTAGTGGTGAGTAAAACAATAATTCATTCATCACTGACACCTATCTTAAATCTGAAGCATGGCGATATACAATTTAATGCGGTCCTTCAGACCTAAAGCAGCACTGTGTTAAAGGTCGTGTTGGTGGTGGCTAGGGTCAACACAGTGTGGCAATTTGTTTGAGAGAAATTTGCTCCAGGTTAAATTAAATTTTTTTACTAAAATGCCCCATTTTTGGCTGGAGCCCTCTGAGTTAAAACAACCCAGCTGTACCAACTCAGTTTTCTCTTTGAAATGAATGATGGGGGCGTGTTTTTTCACGCAGTGCCACTATCTGTCTGAACATAGCCTAAAGTTGAAGTATGATTGTACACAGCAATTTCATTTAGATAAAAATGATTGTTTCTCAGCTTTTATTTCAGTAAGTAGTATAAATAGATGTGATGATTTTTATCTTGTGGCTGTGCTGACAACGGGTTGTCACTTTATAGTCAGTGCTTATATAAGCATACAGTAAATCTCAAGTAGATGATCTTTCCTTAGCTCACAGATGCTGCCAATACTACATGCAATATCCAAACTCTCAACAACTGTCACTACTGTGAAGCTGTAAAGCTGACAAACTGTTTTGAAAAATCTTTCTAAATCTAACAGTTATCTTTTTATAATACCAGGAGATTTTGTGGGCTGCATGTCTCAGCAGTCTATTGTTAACCCCTCAGCTGAGGGACGCCAAGGACAGACAGAAACAGCTGGGGGAGAATATTTTATCCACCAGAGGCCATTACAGTATCTACTTACTATAGTATGAGTGATACCCAAGCACACAAGACAGAGCATCACAATCTGAGTTCAAAAGTGTATTGAACTACACAGTAAACACTGATATTCATAAATGTATGTTATTACATATATTAACTGTTTATATTGCTTCAGTTGCACTAACCTTTTCACACAGTGTCTGTGTGAATTGAGTGGCAAGGCAGCAGAGTATGTGATGCTTAGTGAAAAATCCTGGGTGTCTGGCGCATGGAAATACTGCCCCTGACATTTTGTCTTGGCCTCACAGAGCAAGGACGTACACATAATACAGCTGATCACTCTCAGACATCATCTCAGCATCATATTTAATGACTAGAGCCAAAACCATTTCCTGTTAGGTTATTCATAGAAATGGAAAGGAAATGGCTCATCGTCAAACTGACTAAAGTATTGTGATGGCCACGCTGTGCCAAAATGATTATCGTTTATTTGTGTTACACTAACCCTCCACCCTTACTCTGGTGTACGCTCGGCTCCCACATAAATGCACACTATTTGCACTGAAATGAAGGCAAATATTATACTTACACGCTTCATGGGAGGGGGTTTCTATTTAAATCAAATGACTTAAGCCACCAAACTGTGGTTTTGACCTTGAGTATGTGTTAAGATCCGGCTCAAGTAAGCATGCTGCTACTGAGGGAACAAACACAGACAGCTGAGCGAGCAGAGCTCAAGTGGCAGGGGGACTGGATGTTAAGGAAAAGTAATTTGATAGCAGATTGAACTGTAATTGATGAAGATGTAATCATATTGGGCCATCAGCGCCACAGCACATGGAGCAGAGTAGATTTAACCTGCATGTTTAGGGACGTACGCTGATAATTTTGTGGTCATCTGCATTGGTCATTGACTTTTGGCATGAAATCCTTGCTTTTGCCTTTTTGCCTTACTCCAATTCCTTTTCCTTAAGAGGAAAACCTTCATTAAGAAAACATAAAATTCTTTCTTTAAAGCTACAAATCTTAAATGCCTAGTCTTTGGAAATACACCTATTAGAGTTTGATGAGAACATTGATTCCACTGTCATGTCCGTCCGTCCGCCAACAAGTTGCTAACAAGTCAGAAGTTTCACCACATCCTGCCATTGCCACTACCATTTGGTATAATGGTAGGGGAAATGGAGCAACAAGCTCTACTTTGTGATACATTAAACACAGTAAATGTCATGCAGTTGCTTATGTTTCACAACAAACACTCTTTAAATTATATTTCAATGCATTTTCCGCTTACAAGCACATTAACATTTTAAGACAACATTTTCTATAACACATAAAGACAGGAGGCAGGGGGGAAACAGCTAACCTGGCCCTGTCCAAAAGATGTTTCATGTGCTAGTAGGCAGATGTTATTTTTACATTTGGAGCCAGGCTAGAAGTTCCCCCGTATTCCAGACATAATGCTAGACTAAGCTAAGCTAGGCTAACAGGCTGCTGGCTTTAGATTTAAGTTCAGATTTAACTGATAGACATGAGATTTTTATTAGCTCTTATCATCTAGCTCTTGGTAAGAAATAGAATAGGCTTATTTCCCAAATATCAATTTAAGTTACTAGAACTGCTTTAAATGAAACTGAATTCAAAACTGGTAAATCACCTGAGTGACATTTCTGAGAATCTCTGAGCACAATTTCACGTATCACCGACACTGAAAAAAACTGTGCTACAATTGTTTTTTTCCCTATCAAAATCACCATATCTTTTTTATCTGCCAGGCTTGTGTTTCGTACAGCTCATCCTTTCCCCTCAGCCATCTTTACTGATTCACAGCTCGTTCACTGGAATGAGAGAGATCAGCCTGACCCTATGTAACCATGATCTCCCGCTAAACCTAAGAAATAGGAACCGAGAAATTGACTAACAGGTTTAGAAACTAAAGATAGCTGCGTCTGCAACAGGAGGTAGACGACATAATGTTTATTGATGTGCCATCACAGGACCATTTTGATATGTGATGTGTATTCGAGCTAGTCCAGACTTTTCTGTCTAGTTCAGCAATGTCGCTTTGACAAAGTAAAAAAATTTTCCTGTATATAAAAATAATTATTTTACTTGCAGACCCAGTGGGGATTCGTGTGGGACTATACTCTATTCACTCATCCTTAATTCTCATCCATTGATGATAAAGATTACAGATACAGGCAAAACTGAAAAATCTAGATATCTCATATGTTGTAGATACATACTAAATAAAGATGTGTGCATATCTTGCAGTGCAGGTACAAAAGAAAGGTACAAAAAACCTTGTGACAGGTCTTTACAGAGCAACATCGACACTGACGAAACATTTTTATCTGTTGTTTTGGCTATTTAAAAAAATATTATTATAAGGTCCTGCACAACCATAGTACACCTACAGGCTATATTTGATTGACATTTCCCTCACACTCTTGAAATTGTGTAAATATTATTATGCTTGTAATATTAGATTTACTTTTCAGTGTCATTTATCATGACCTTCATGACTCCTTAACATTTCTTTTGTCAGGTGTTGAACCTCTTTCTGGCCTTGCTGCTCAGCTCGTTCAGTGGAGACAACCTCTCGGCAGGGGACGATGATGGAGAGATGAACAATCTCCAGATTGCCATTGGCAGGATCACACGGGGCATCAACTGGTTCAAAGCGTTCATCATTCGAACTGTCCTGCACATTCTTGGCAGAAAACCCAAGGAGCCTGAGGAGGGCCAGATGGACGACGAGGACCCTAAAACAGAGGGAATTGAAATGAACCACTTGAACACCAGTCAGAATTTCAAAATGGCAGATGGGATATCTAATTGTTTGGTTGAAGGCCGTCCTTCTGGATTTATTGTGGATGGAGAGGTCAGTCTCAATGTGCCTATCGCCCCAGGAGAGTCAGATTTTGAGAACCTTGGCGAGGATGATGAGGACGATGAAGATGATGCAGATCTTGCGAATGACTCAGAAACTTCAGATGAGAAAAATAACCAACATTTCTCGGTAAGTACAGTAGATCAATCAACAAGTTCTATCTATTTATCTGTTTATCTGTCTGCATGCACATGCATTCATATTCATCATCCACCAACAGCATATAAATCAGTTTAACTTCAGTATCAATCTCATGATGAAGGGTTCGTTAAAACAATATAAATCGAGTTCTCTGAACACAAGCTGACCTCTCTAACAGGCTTTATGCTTTGTCAATCATCTCATTGTCAATCAGGATGGGCCTAGTCAACACAGAGTACTTCACCTCTTTTCATGGGCACATGGACAGCATGTTATACAATAAATACAATCAAAAAGCCACATTGACAGTGACAATCATGAACACGTCACTCAAAAACTCTGCATCTAACCCACCTCTCAAAGCATGTGGACGTCAATGTTGCAATGCAATTCTGCTTATAAAGCGCTGTTAAAATGTGGCATGTAATAAATCACTGGGAGCTGGCTTTGTTGAGTGACGTCATTCAGCTGCTTCTTGTGAAGTCAGGGTATATTTTCAGAGTTCACAAGTAGAAACTCGACTTGAAGTTGTGTTCCACGGTATTTTTTCTAGTTGGAGGTCGGAAATTTTCAAGTTCCGGGCTGCCTGGAAAGCAGCATCAGTGAAAATACTTGTGAGAATGAGCAGGGACTTTAATGGTGCATCAAAGATTATTTACCATAACCAATTTCCTAATGACACTGGCATCAGTTCAAATGCAGAACAGGTTTCACTGTATGATCGTAGTTATTATTTTAATTAAATACAGGCTAATATACTTTATGTTGCCTTTTAGTTGATGGTTTTTGGTTTGGTTACTGTGCGCTTCCATGGGTGTTACCATGTTGTGTGACGAAAGCTAACAGAGTATGAGGGAGATGCACAACATGCCTACACAGTCCAGAGAAGTCTCATGCAACATGAGTGAAAACACCTGTGTAGATGTTGTGCAGGGTTCATTTAACAGTCTTGTATGAAAATTAACTCTCACCTAGATATAAACTAATAATGTAAAGCTAATGAAAGAAAACACACTTGTGTGCAAAATGTTTGTCTTACTGCTTATGAACGCTTACTAAAGTCCATTCTCTATTCCTGTTTCCTGTGCTATTTCAGGAAAACTTAGAAGATGAAATGGGTATGGTGGGAAAGTTCAAAGTGAGTAATTCTGTAGACCCACATTAACAAACACGACCCTTGTTACCAATTAAAACTCTGTCTTAACATATAACATATGTTAAAGTCTTTATATGGGGTTCTGTTCAAAATAACTGGGGGGAAATGAATGATGTATATTTTGCACGGTGGCTTTGTAACTGAGCTTCAATTGTAATTCTTGACTAGCTGATGGGTGCTTTGAATGATGGGGATTCTTCAGTGTGTAGCACAGTGGACTATCAACCACCTGAGCCTGAACCAGAAGAAGTGGAAGTAGAAGAGCCAGACCCAGTGGAACCAGAGGCCTGCTTCACTGATGGTACGAACAACCACTGTAAAACAGAATAATTGTTTTTCAGTACCAGTGCTTATGCTGTTGAAATCTAATCTGAAATCTTTTAGAGTGGAGTAATCCTGCACCACATTTTCCTCTCCCTCAGAGTGTGTGAAGCGCTGGCCATGTCTGACCGTGGACATCACCCAAGGTAACGGGAAGAAATGGTGGAACCTCCGTAGGACTTGCTTCACTATTGTGGAGCACGATTGGTTTGAAACCTTTATAATCTTTATGATCCTCCTCAGCAGTGGAGCTCTGGTGAGTGCTGTCATCAGTGCAATGAATTTAGAAATGTTGACCGAATTATCATAGTGTTAAGATACTGTATTACTGTCAAGACATGTATCTAGGTATCTCATGTCTTCTTTTGGCAGGCCTTTGAAGACATCCACATAGAAAGACGACGAACCATCAAAATTATTCTAGAGTATGCTGACAGCGTTTTCACCTACGTCTTTATCATTGAGATGCTTCTTAAATGGATCGCATATGGCTTCAAGACCTACTTCACCAACGCTTGGTGTTGGTTAGACTTTTTCATTGTAGATGTAAGTTTTGACATCTTATTTTAATGATGACCTGTTTGTGTAACATCAACAGAACATACATGTACAAACATGTTTTATGTCAGATGAAGCCTGTGGTAACACTTGAATAGGAAATATTTTGATTCTGCCACAGATTTCCCTGATTAGTTTAGTTGCCAACTGGATGGGCTACTCTGACCTTGGACCGATCAAATCGCTCAGAACTCTCAGGGCACTGAGGCCTCTTCGAGCACTGTCAAGATTTGAAGGGATGAGGGTGAGTTTTTGGCTGTACAACCACATATGAGAAATGTGCATGGCTGGCATTGGTTTAGAAGATGCAAAAGCTGTGATGTTTAATGCATTATCACACTAATTTGACTAGCTTTCCCCTTATTGTGTGTTGAATGCATGCTTACACCATGGCTGCGGTTGCAGAGCTGACTGAGGTAAGAGTACTGGTAAAACTTGATGGCAATAGCAAATGTGTTGCTCACTCCTACAAACAAATTAAACTAAAATAATTGTATATATCCATTTCTATTTATTCTAACAAAGTCTTCTCTTTTGGGCAGGTCGTGGTGAACGCTCTTGTTGGAGCAATTCCCTCCATCTTCAATGTGCTGCTGGTGTGTCTGATCTTCTGGCTCATCTTCAGCATCATGGGAGTTAACCTGTTTGCCGGGAAGTTCTACCGCTGCATCAACACCACCACGGAGGAGCTCTTCCCCATGACTGAGGTCAACAACAAGAGCGACTGCATGGCCGTCAAAGAAGCCACGCAGGATGCCCGCTGGGTCAACGTCAAAGTCAACTATGACAATGTGGGACAAGGCTACCTGTCCCTGCTTCAAGTGGTGAGGAGTGACATGACTATACATATACTTGGAACATGTTGGGAAGTTGTTGTGTACAATGACGAAGATTTTTAATCAATGCTCTGTATTTTCAGTCAACTTTTAAAGGCTGGATGGACATCATGTATGCTGCCGTCGACTCAAGAGAGGTAGTATTTCCAGTATTAAAGCATTACATTTAGCAATAAATATGATGGTAGGCCTTTGTTTTACAGTCGTATCAGTACTGTTAACAAGGCAAACACTTGCTATAATTTAGGATTTTGTTCTCACTACACAACAGTCTCTTGGTGAATTACACAATTATGTAATAATACTTAGTTACACAAAGGAAATCTCTAATACCTTTTCAATTACGTAATACATTTTTGGCTAGGACAGTATGTATACCAAGTAAGGGTTTCCCATTCTAACACCACCCTGCACTTTAAGATAATTGAATATATACGTGACATATATGTGACAGATGGTGATGGTAAACTGAGTCTTTGGATCAGCAAGTGCCCTTCCTGGCCAATATCGTCTTACAGGATAACCTTTTATCCTGTATCTTCACAACTCAGTCTCACAAACATCTTTCTTACTTAGTATACTCAAACATTTAGTAACAGAGAAAGGACTGCTTTCTTTCTTTCTTTCAGGTAGAGGAGCAACCTTCATATGAGATCAACCTCTACATGTACATGTACTTTGTCATCTTTATCATATTTGGCTCATTCTTCACCCTAAACCTCTTCATTGGTGTCATTATTGATAATTTCAACCAACAAAAGAAAAAGATAAGTATCACACTTTTTATAAGAAGTCTGCAGCTATACAAAATTGATGATTACAGCAATATTTATTTTAAAGCGCACAAAATGACCTAATTCAAATACCTATAATGACGTTTCTTTTATGTTGTGTATGCACTTTGGAGATAAAGACATCTTTATGACTGAAGAACAAAAAAAGTACTACGAGGCCATGAAGAAACTTGGTTCCAAGAAGCCACAGAAGCCAATTCCACGTCCAACTGTATGCCAACAGCTGCATGATTATTTCAGACACTGATATTAATATGTGCTATATTGTTAAATCAAAACTATATTTAAGTTTAACTCCATTGTTTGATGTTGAAAAGTATAAACAAGGTTAGCCAAAGTAATGACATATGAACTTGGCATGCATGGCATGACGATTTCGTCAGTAACCCCTGGCTGACCTTTTCTGCACACTGCTGGTGTGAACAGGACAAAGGACCCTACTGGATTTGTGTTTCAGTTCCTCGCCTTGCCAACCCCTCCCCCTTTCTCCCTTTGACCTGCAGAACAAAATCCAGGGACTAGTGTTTGACTTCATCAGTCAGCAGTTTTTTGACATCTTCATTATGGTGCTCATCTGCCTCAATATGGTGACCATGATGGTGGAGACAGACAACCAAAGTGCAGAGAAGGAAGATTTTCTCTTTAAAGTAAATGTGGCTTTTATTATTGTCTTCACCGGAGAGTGCGTGTTGAAGCTCTTTGCCCTGCGTCAATACTTCTTCACAAATGGATGGAATATTTTTGATTTTGTTGTGGTCATCTTGTCCATAGCTGGTGGGTGCCTCATACATTACGAGCACAGTTGTGAATGACATTACTTAAAAACTTCAAATTGCTATTGTGTTCAAACAGACAATATGAGTTCATATTTTGTCTCTGATTGTAGTTTCTTCTTTTATTTCAGGTACAATGCTCTCAGACATTATTGAGAAGTACTTTGTGTCACCAACTCTGTTCAGAGTGATCAGACTGGCCAGAATAGGCAGGATTCTGCGTCTTATTAAAGGCGCTAAGGGCATTCGGACCCTTCTCTTCGCTCTAATGATGTCACTTCCTGCCCTATTCAATATTGGTCTCCTGCTTTTCCTCATTATGTTCATCTTCTCCATATTTGGCATGTCAAACTTTGCCTATGTCAAAAAGGAGGCTGGGATCGATGATATATTTAATTTTGAGACTTTTGGTGGTAGCATTATCTGCTTGTTTCAGATCACAACATCAGCCGGCTGGGATGGGCTTTTACTTCCAATGCTGAACAAGGAGTATCCGGACTGCGATCCAGACTTTGAGAACCCAGGCACGGGTGTAAAGGGAAACTGTGGCAACCCGATGATGAGCATGATCTTCTTCTGCAGTTACATCATTATCTCATTCTTAGTGGTTGTCAACATGTATATAGCCATCATCTTAGAGAACTTCAATGTGGCGCAGGAGGAGAGTGGTGATGCACTCTGTGAGGAGGACTTTGAGATGTTCAATGAGACTTGGGAGAAGTTTGATCTAGAAGGAACTCAGTTCATTGAGTATAACCAGCTATCAGATTTTTGTGATGCTTTGCAGGAGCCACTGAGGGTTGCCAAGCCCAACATGCTTCGCCTGACTGAAATGGATCTGCCCCTGGTCATTGGGGACAGGATCCACTGCCTGGATGTCTTGTTAGCTGTAACACAGATGGTCTTAGGAGACACGGTGGAGATGGCGGCAATGCGGGAAAGCATTGAGGCTAAGTTCATTCTGAACAACCCAACCTCAGACTCCTTTGCACCGATTACCACAACAGTACGCCACAAAGAAGAGGATAGGGCTGCTGTAGTCATTCAGAGGGCTTACCGCAACCACCTACTGAAACGCTGCATACGCCACGCTGCTTTTATGCACCGCTCTAAGAGTACGAGTAAGAAGGACGAAGGTGAAGGTCCACCGGAAAAAGAGGGGATCCTCGCACGAAGAATGGGAGTGCTCTATGGGAGCAATGTGGACCTTGCAGAGGAGATGGAGCAGGCTGCTTTGGACGCTCTAGCAAGCCAGCAGCCTCCTCAGCCTCTTTACACAGGGGCCCAGTGTGGTCCAGAACCCCTTGAGCCAAATACCATGGTTGTACCTGTAGAAATTACTAATGAAGTTTTATTACATTCTGCCCCCAACCAACACTTCTTAGCCCTACATGCAAACCTGAGAGAGTCAATTGTATAACAAACAGCAGAGGACAATTGCTGCTGCTGTTTTTCACTAGTCACAAAGTAGTGTTAGCAGAGTCTCACTAATGGAGCTGAATTTTCCACATTAGATGGTTATACAGTGCTAATGGCTGAACTGCATTTTTTTGATAATTAAACTTAACAAACAATTCCTGTTTTTTCCATGCAATATTTAAGTGTCTTTTTGGGTTGAAGTTGGAACTGGAGTGCATGGTTTTCTCTGATAGTCACCACTGATGTGCAGAAAAATTCAGTTACCAGTTGTAAGTTGTTGTAGTCTCCTCTGTATATTGGTGGAGGTACATAATGGTTAATTAATTGAAATTTCCAAATTATTATTATATATATTACAAGTAGATAATATTTCTCAGCATTTAAATGCACATTGGTTTTCAGAGAACGGCAACACTTACCCTCTCAGCCAATAATAAACTTGCTAGTGTTTGTAGGGAGATACATCTTAGTGGACCAGGATCTGTGACTCAACAGCTTTCTAGTAAAAATCAATCTTGAAATTGCAACGAGATCAAGGTTTTGCTTAACCTGTAAATTAGTTTTTTAATGGATAGTCATTGCCCAGATGACAGAGATCTAAATATTCCAGTGGATTTTAATGCATGCTTTGGTTTACACCTTCATTCAGGCTAGCAAAAACATTGCTTTTGTTGTGGCTATTACCAAAAAAACAAACCATGTGCCCCAGTTTCTAACCAAAGAGTAACTTGAACAGCACATGGCAAAACCTGAATGACACCCTTATATGAGTATATGCAACTGTGTTTATGTCATACACGGTGTGTAAAAGCTTGAAGAGCAGCTAATTACTTGACTCTTTATGTTGCCTTACATTTCAAAGCAACAAGATATCCAGTCTTTTTGCTTCACATCAAGTTAAAATACACACAACACTACGTCATCATGAGTGCCACGCTGAAATTGCACCATGTCATGGCTAAAATGGTACATTTGCTAGTAATTTGTTATCATTTAAAAAAAATTAAACAGCACAAATTCTTATTCCTGCTTACTTTAAGTTACTTTTATGTGGAATGTGATGGCTCTACATGCTTATTCTTTCAATTAGACACTAAAAAATTTTCTATGGTGGAGTATTGTACATTTATAAATTAATAACTTAAATATAAGACTTATCTTGACCACATTTATCCCACGCCACCAGTGAAACCCTGACCTCTGTAATCATTACCTAGTTAACAATAATGTGAGCCAGCTAATCCAGTTAACATCCTTCCCTGGGTGGCTCGTTCAGAAAGGCTCAGTTTATATTGCACTATTTATATCCCTTCCAGGTCAAGTTAGAGCAGTTGGCTGACTGAGAGACCTTCCCGTTTTCTAAGATGACTTCATCACTGATATATGCATGTCTTATAAATGTTTTGTCTGTTTATTTGGACCCTCAGACAGATCTTCATGATACTCAAATCAAGCAGTCACTTGTTTTCCATTTGGTGGGTTTCCATCTGTGACTGTAAACTTAAAATGCTATGTTTACATTAACAAAACTGCTAAGCTTCTTGTTCATTTCAACTGTTTTCTGTATATGTCCACTAAATAACAATAACTCTAGCAATAACATAAGTACTTTGGTATTTGCTGTAAATAAAGTTTTGCCTCAGGTTGGATCAAGTTGATCTTAAATTAATCTGAAAATATGAAACAGCACATACAGCTGATGTGTTGCATTAGTTAAATACATGACTCTGAAGTTAAAGGAATACCCCACTTTCCAACGTGTAGATACTCACGCCGATTTACAAAAATAAAAGTTTTCCTGTTAGTAAGGATCTTTATGCGCAGTGGATCTAGTCATCTCAAGTCATGTCCTCATGCAGAAATGTTGGTTCACTTGCTGTTGTGTAAGTCTTAACTAATTATAAAACGTCTTACTCTGAATATATATACATAAAAATCATAAGCACTTTTACAGTTTTCTAGTTTGTTTTTTTACAATAGACTATAGAAGGTTGTCTCTTCTCTTGTTTATGTGTTCAGCACTGTTTTAACATCAACCCTGGGGGATAACAAAATCATGAATGTTTCCTCTACGAGGGGTTTCTTTGTCTTATCCTGCTGCCGCAGCATGGCAGTTATTCCTGTCAGAAGTCTGTAACGTGACCTGCAGCAATACTATTTCAGATTGATACACTGCTGCACTACTTAGCTATAGTCTCCTCTGGTGGTACAGTTAAAATCACAAGACAGTGTCCTCCTTTTGTTTACATTTCTAATGGAGGGAGAGCCATATGGGGAGCTTTACTGGCACCCACAGTCAGTGTTGCCTGTATATACATTTTCTTTTCTTTTTTCTTCTGTATTATATATTTATATAATTTTGTTATTGTAAAAATTTTAACTATATTGTGAGAATAAAATTCTTCTCATAGGGAAAAGCAGGCTGTGAGTTTATGTTGTCACTGCTGTATTAATAGCTGCATTATGTGTTGCACTGGTACACTGAGGCCCTCCAGTGGTTGTACGTTGAACAGAACACATTGCTGACTGATAAACTCCAAATACTGTCACATGTTTTATTTTTTGATGTGGGAGCAGATTTTTGAAATAGGAAAACAATCCAGAGTATAATTGTCCTCTTTCCTTTTTTGTACAGTATATCTTTTGTGTGAAGTACAATTTGTAGAGGACTATTTGCAGCCACAGATTAATACACATTTAGTGTGTCAGTGAGTATTGACAGCAGCAAGACAACGGAGCTCTGTAGCACATAGGAATAAGCTATATTAGGCTTTGACTACACAGACAATACATAGGTTCATTTAACTTTTTTATTTCATTTTCTGACAACAAGATATATAGTAAAATAACTGTCAGTCTTATCCTTAAAACACTGCCTGCTGTGAGTCTGATTTACTTGCAAAACTATGTTCGAGCAGGTTCTCTGTATAAAATGTTTTTTCCCCAGTCATTTGCTGTACTGAAATCTTGCCTCTTAAACAGAACTGCTCATTTCAGCACGACAGCATACAGTGCAGTGCACAGCTCGCTTGTCCAGTTGCTATTTTTTGTGCCTGAGTGTCAACAGACAAAAATAAGTACTGGAAGAAAGAAGAGGTTGGGCATCTAATTGATTAGCATATTTTTGTGGTTGCACGCTATGCCCAGTACTGACTGAGGTTACTTAAGAGGGATATGGGCTCAGCTGGAGAGTTGCTCTGCAAATGTGTGTGTTGGTGTGTTCAGTTTTGGCTGCCAGGCAGAGTACGGCTACCTTTTTTCCCTGCGACAATTTTAACTAGGCGACCTTGATGTCTAGCAAGCTGCAGCTAACTATTTTAATTATCGATTAATCTGATGATTATTTTCTGAATATTTGGTTTATAAAACAAGGAAAAACTGTGAATAAGTGTCAGTACGAATTTCAGTCCAAGGTGACTTAAAATGTTTTGTTTTGTCCAACAGTCCAAAACCCTAATATATTGTATTTACTATAATGTAAGACAAGGAAAAGCAAAAGATCCTCACATTTCAGAAGCTGAAACCATAAAATGTTTGGCACTCTTGGCAAAAACAAATTCCTTAAATTATGAATGCAACAAACTATTTTAATTATCGATTAATCTGCAGATTAATCAATTAACTCAATTAATTGATTGTTTGGTCTATAAAATGTGGAAAATGTTGATCAGTGTTTCCTAACGCCCAAGATGACGTCCTCAGATATATTTATACTCATATTTAAGAAGCTGGAATGAGAGAATTCGTGTCATCATGTGAACCTGAAAAAGACTATACCAATGTTTAAAAAGTAGATCCATGTCGCCCCCCATGTATGACAAAGTATAAGATCAATAGGACAGATCCCTGGGACAGTCCAATTATAACTTAATATACTAAGGTATGAATCAATGATTTCCCCAGGCTATGGAGAGGCTCAGTGACTATTCAGATCTGTCTTTAAGGAGTCATGCCATGACTTAGAGGACTACACCAACACTATCTGTTTCTCAGACACTGTGTGCATTCCTATCAAGACAGTGACTGGTATTAGTTACAAGAGAGGAGATAAAGAACTCCACAAATCCAATAAATATGAATTTATAATAACACAAAGACAAGCTGGAAAGCAAGCTCCAGGACATTGACAGCAGAGGTGTGTGACAGGGACTGTGGCAAAATACCAACTATAAGACCAAACACTCGATTTAATAATATCTCCAACAGAGTGTGTCTATCTTCTCTTACCGCTTCAGCTGCAGAACCATGACAAAAAGATATTTGTATTATGGTTTTGTGGAGGAGGATGTTGTCTGGTGCATAACTAAAGTGGGCCCACTTTGGCTGCAGGGCATATAATTTTGTGAGGGGCAGATCTGCCCTCACAAAACAACTGGTGTAAATTACCAGCATGCTTTAAATCCACAGTAATAATTCCTGTGCCTAAGAAGGCCAGTGTTTGCTTCTTAAATGACTGTCAGGACGGTTGCCTTAACATCTGTTGTAATTAAGGTGTATGAGCAGATAGTAGGCTGTGTAAACATCAGTTTTGGGCCAATAGATTGGTAGATGATGCCGTATCTCTTCACTCCATCCTGCAGCATCCTGAGGCATCTGCCTGTAATGGTCTGTTTTTTGTTTTTGTAGTGTGTACTATGTCCAAGGGTGTTATATTGTGTTGAAAAGTGGTGGGGACATAAGGGCTCAGATAAGGGGCGTGATGATACATTTGTGTCATGAGACGTGACAATGTACAAGACAAGAAGGTTTTTAGCATTTAGATTAAATATTTGATGCTGAAATGAATGAGCGGGGAGTCTGGTGGTCCTCCCCCAGAAGATTAAACTCTTAATTTCATGCTTTCTGGAGACATTTTCTGCACCAATTTATGGTATAAATTTCTTTATTTTTATTAAGGGAAACACAAAATTCAGGTTGCAGGTGACAATTCAAAAATATAAAAATATAATGAAATATAATGCAGTAATCAGTAGCTTTTTTTGGTTGCTTAAGTTTTGGACAATGCACGTGTTTCTTCTAAATTTTAATTGCATTGCATGTTTTTCTTATTGTGCAAATAAAAATTCTCAAAGCAATTTCATTTTTTATTTTACATTTCTTGTTGAAAGCTATTTTTTTGGAACATTTTTAACAAATGATTTCAAAAAGTGATGGGGACATGTCCCCAGCGTCCCCAGTGTAAATGACACCTGTGACTATGTCATTATTTTATTTTATTTAGTTTTACATGTTTTGTTTTTTTGTTATTGAGCACAACAAAACAAATTCATATGCGGTTAATATGGCTATAAAGCATTGAATCTTGAATTGCTGCAGCTCTACAAGTAAAAGTTCTCGTTTGATATGCTTGATCTAAATCATTTTTGGGCAGCCCCCACTGCTTATTCAAAATGAAAGATTGAAAATGAAAAAATGGCAGGCCCTGTCAAGTTTGAGACTGATTTTCTGAGTCACCTCTCATTAAAGGAGGAGGAACAGTATTTCCTGTCAGCTTTACATGGTCGTTGGAGGAAGCAGTATATCTCCTACTCACACACTGTGAAAACTCCATACAGTAGATAAAAACTGAGTGGGTGATGTAAAATGCATATTCGCTTAGGGAATTAGGGAAATGTGATCAGCTTGGCTGACCTGAAAACTTCACTCTTGACTGCATGCGGGTATTGCATAACAAGACAGCCATGCCAGCGGCTCTGTGGGGCACACAAAATACTACTGAGGCTTATTGGTATAGCATTAATCTTGCAAGTTTTTGGTCATAAACTAAAGTATGAGATAAATGAAAATTTTGATGTGAAAAAAGGGGATCATAAAAGTTATTATAATTCATCCTGATGCGGACATGAATGTATGCACTGAAAACCACAACTGTCAATAGGATACAACTTCTGGGAAACATGTTTGAACCAAAATATTTAAAGCTAAAACATCCAAAACACCAAATGACACACTGACACGTTGGCATTGCTATCCCTATAACCACGCTGCTAGCATGGCTGTAAACACTGTCGCAGAGGAACTTATAGCATGGATGACATAAAAAGAACCATTATGTTTTAGCCCAAAAGATTTCACTTTCCCACCTGTGATTCACAGCGGACAAATCAGAGCGTGAGGTGGTTCTCTCAAAAGTCAGTCAGAAGAAATCGACTGGGCAAGGGCAGGTGTGGTCCTTAAGTAACATAGTCACCATTAGCTCCCCATCTCTTCTAGATGTCACATGACTAAAACCATCCATCCATCCATCGTCAACCGCTTATCCTGCGTACAGGGTCGCGGGGGGCTGGAGCCAATCCCAGCTCACATCGGGCGAAAGGCGGGGTACACCCTGGACAGGTCGCCCGTCCATCACAGGCACATGACTAAAACAATCTTCTAAAAGATGTATGGACGTGCCACTAACCAAAATGTCAAAATGATCATAGGCCTTTTGTTCAAACACACATTCTGATAATACGCATTTTACACTTTTAAATCAAGCATTTCAATATCTTGTCACTAATCTTTTGACTTTGGAGTCAACACTAACATTAACCAAGGGATAGACACACACTACAACTAAGTAAACCAAAGACAGTGATATCCAATATGATCAAGAACATGTGAAATCATGTGCAAGAAACCTTCCATCCTTATTTATATCCAAAAAGAAGATTTTTTCTTTACACTGTGGCTCCTAACACTGTCAACACTGTGTCATACATGAATGAAAGTAGACAGGTTTTTAATGTTAAATGTGTGGGCTGTTCAGACTTATTTTTGGTGAGTGACAGTACTCTTCCCCTTATTTGCCTGACATTAAAGCCTGCGCAGTGACAGACAGAACACCCACTGGTGCAGACACTTCTCATCGTTCACAACATCTTAATGACTGCAGAGAGATTTGGGCATTCGTGTGGACATCAGCATTCGAAATATTTTTCTTTTTGCATGTCATCATGCCCTGGTTGCTGGCTGGATTCTGTGGGCTTGCTTTGATCTATATCTCAGGTAAATGTAAACGTTTGCAATATCATAAATTTGATTAGTGACTGAAAAATTTTAATGATACAAACAATTATTACAGTCTTGGTACTAAATAATAGGTTAGTAAAATGAAATGTTGTTACAGCAATACAATTAACTTGAATTTGCTTTAAATGGTCATTTGATTGTATTATTTATGTCTGTTTAAACACTGCTACACTGCATAGTGCATAGTGTTTTGCATGTTATTTTTGACTCCACAATACCATTACTTCCTGGCCATCTGGGGGGAAAGAGGAAGTTGTATGTTGAGACAAAGACTGATATAAACTTGTTTGTTTTAATATACTATATTCTGTATACCTAGACCAAGTTATCACATTCTATCAACTGGCTATCAGGTTACTTTATTTCAGATTTGTAGTCTGTTTTCAGAGAAAGATAATGAAGATAACACATGAGATTGTTTTTAAATATATATATGCAAACATTAAAAACTAACATACACTACCCATTTCCAACATGGATAAATAGACTTCATAAACAAAATTGCCACAGCTTTGATGCATAACATGATGTACCTTTAAGCAATGTCTATTATCCTCTACCTCATCCTACACATACATTTATACAAAACATTACAGTCGACTTTACTGCTTGCCATGATGGTGATAAACACATGTCTACCAGTCCTGAAACCATTAGTTGATTAATCTAGGGCTGCAACTAATGATTATTTTGATTATGAATTATCTGATGATAGGTGATGCAAAGGTGACTTGTTTTATCAAACCAAATACTTAATGTATAATCGGCTAACTTGCAGCAAACAAAGCAAGCTGCAAATCTTTTCATTTGAGAGATACTGAGAATTAGCAAATTTGTAGTACTTCTGCTTGATCTGTTAACCTGCAATACCAGAATGTCTCTGGAAAGTTAGAGCCAAATAATTGTGTATCATAAACTCTGAGATGCCTCTTTTTCAAGCCAATAACAGTCAGGAGCAGCATAGATATAAACACTAATAATATGAAAGATATTTAAATGTCAACTTCTCTACTGTGACATTTAGCAGGTGCATGTCTTTATCTTTGAGACACATCTGAATCATTCACAATGCAAATTAAAGCTGTATAGATTTGCCCACTTGGACTTTACACATATAAATGTCAACTGACTTAAAGTGACAAATGTTCATCTCTCAGGGCTTGGCGATTGAGACATGTGGAGGAGGTCTGTATGAGGAACTGTCTGTTTACGCCGAGGCGGATGGAGCTGAGGCCCCATGGGAGTGAGACTGAACGACTTTTCATCTCATCACCTCTACAATCCCACAATAACTTACTACTAACAGGTTGTTGGTTATAAAAGTCAAAATCGTACGTTAGCGAGAGTCCTTAGTGGACCTGCTCAGGTGTGGAGATTTGTCATTTTCTTCTGTATGTTTGTTTGTAAATGTGCAACATCATACTTATTCTAAAATGTGTGCTTTATGTAAATATGCGCTGTTGATTTTATGCTATTTAGTAACACTTGATTGATTTAATCATATGTGATTTGAAGTCCACTGAAATGTAAAGGAACCATTCTACAAGTAGGACTCCACAGCTGACATTTTTGGTGCTTTAAGACGCTTTTTTTTTTTTAAAGTAAGAAGTGTTGTGTTGGATTTTTGACTTCTTTAATTATTTAAGAACATGCTTATCGCAAATATTTGTGAGAGAAAATGTTACAGAAATCTTGTGTGCATCAGATCCTAAGCAAGGCCCCACTTGTTCCTGTTGTGTGATTATATTAAAAATCTGTGTGCCTTTTTATCTTGTAATAGGAATAAAAACAACAAAAACATTCCCATGTGCTGAAGAAAATTATTATTTTTATTGGCGTTTACAGGTATAAAAATATACTTAAATAAATAAACAAGTTGATCAACAAACAATAATTTATAAATAGGTTATGTGGAATATCAACCAATCCACTAATAAATACACACAAAAGCGCGATAAATAAATAAATGCATTAATAAATAGATAAATAAACTTAATTAAAGCAAATAAATTATCACATTCTTCATCTGAAGAAACTTAATTTATAAAAAAGTTGAGTAGAAAACCAACAAATAAATAAACAAGCAGCTTGAAAAATAAATGAATGCATTAACAAATCGATAAATAGACTTCATGTAAGTAAATAAATGAACATATTATTAATCTGAAGATAATAATTTAGTTGGTGGTGAGTAGAGATGAAACCAGCAGGTCGGCTCTCGTCAGATGGTCTCTAATTTCCTTCCTGACCAGCTCCCAGGCTTCAGCACCGTGGCCCTACAGACAGAAGAATATTATCATTAAACATGATTGGATGGTTGGTTGGTTGGTAGGTAGGGAGGTAAATAGACAGACTTACCATTTGCTCTAGGACGTGGCGTGAGAGTCTCTTGAAATACATGTGCAGCTTCTTGTTCTTCTTCTTGTGGCCGTGGCTCCCAATCTAAATTTTAAAAAGTAAAAATTATTACAAACAGGATATCAGTCAAAGAATATTGATCTTTAAGTTGTTAAGGGAACCAGTGAGGCTTCGTTAATCCACACTGAGACTCACACAGGAGCGAAGGCCGTCAGCCTGCTGGGTTACAACATTGAGAAAGTCCTCCAGTGTCCTCTCCTCCCATGATGCAGAGCTGTGATCCTCCTCAAACAGAGCAGCCGCCTCCTCCAGAATCTGAACTGTGAAGCCAAGTTTCTCCTCAGCCTGGAAGAAGAAATAGAAGAAGAAGAAGAAATAGAAGAAGAAGAAAATCAGTCTTACAGTAGGTAGATTCATTCCACTTTTTGAGTGGAAAACTTAACAACAGATTTAATAATCTCTGAAAATCATTCCTCTCATTAAAGATAAACAAATCAAGTCGTGTCTTTGGCTTCTTCTATTTTGCATTTAGACAAAAGTTGAGGATGACTCACTGATGCTTTGGACGCCTGGCTGTACAGATCATAAGGGAAGGCTGCAGTGCTCTTCACTTCAGCATCCCCAGTGGTGTTAGTTGAATTGTTCTCCTGCATCATACAAATAAACACACAGGTCATGCTCTGAAGTAAAAAGACAGTAAAGTAAATTCATTAAATATAGATACTTTGAATAATATAAATGAATCAACGTACCATCCTGTCTAGTAGCTCCAAAGACTTTTCACTGTGCTGACTGAATTTGTGATCCATCCATCTGCAGCTGAGGGAGGAGGCTGCACTGTACAGACTGAGAAGCAGGCAAACAGAGAAAATCCTGTTGAGCATTTTTAGAAGGTAGAATTCGCCTTTGGAAGGAGCAAATACTGATTTCTCTTGTGTGTTGTGTTGCAGCAGACCTGCAGCACCTCATTTATAGGAGGCAGCTATTTCACTTTCCATACACCTGAGGTAACACGGGATTCCACGGTATTCAAACCTCATGTTTAATGTCACCTATTTCGGAATGAATTAGTGTTCTAATGAAAAAACAAATCTCCTACGATAAAAGCTTAAACCAAACACCGCAAAACTAAAATATATTAAAAGAGATTTCTATTGGAATAGCCCATGGAAAAAAAACATATACAATACCTTAAAAGTACAAAGACAAACACACCTCGCTATTCATAATATTGGAATAGTTCCAATCAGAAGTATGTTATTATTAGCTTATATATTAGAAAAAGAGAAAATTGTAGACACTCACATTGAATTTTCCTTGAATGAAATCTCTGTCACTGAGAACAAGTTAAGGCTATTTTAACATTCATTTAGGTCTACCTATTAAATTCTGTTTGTTTAGATTGTTTCGTATTTTGTACATTTCTGATTATGTCATCTGACTTTAATGCCGGACCGTCATTTCGTCTCTTTCTGTCTGCACGCTGTCCAATGCGATGTAAATGGAGCCCATTTTAAAAACAAAAAACTACATAAGACTTAAATTGTTAGAATTGCATCATAAGTTCTGTGTGGATTCATAATAATCATTAATGAATTGATTACACTTGATACACGTGATTGCACTGTGTCCAGACGGTGCCATAAAGGGGGAAGTTCCTGCAGAGAGAAAATGAAAGCGCCTCCGTGACTGCGGCCTGCGCTGTGACGCGCGTCCATATGAATGAATGGTGCGTGACATTTCACGTTGTTTTCAGTAGAACATCTCTGCTTAACCGTGAGAACCAGAAAACCTGTGGAGAAGGGGATTCTTCTTCACCTATTAACTTCCATATTACAGCACATTTTCAGCCTGATACCAATAAAATGAAAATGACATAGAATTAAATCTGGACCTGTAACTCTAACTCATGAGATGGAGGAAGAGGCCTGTAGGTAAACACTTAGATAGGCCTTTTTTTGATCCACAGAGGGGATAGCATCTATTCAGGCCAGATACCCCAGATTTCCTTTTAGCCCATGGACTGTAGATTTGAAATGCCACTGATAATGAAATATATATTTCTGTGTAGCTTTTAACTTTTAGAACAGGACATTTTTGAAAATTACTCTTACTCTCAACCATTATTAGTATTTAGATATTGCAAGTGACGAAGATGAAATGTTTTACATGTTTCCTGTAATGCTTTGTCTTTATTTCATGTTTCCTGTTTAACCGGAAGTTTATTTTGAAAGGTCACTATATATGTGTAGTAACAGAAATTAACAAGAGAACGAGGGAAAATAGTGCCAAAGCCTGAAAATGAGAAAGAAGTGTAAAATGAACGGGGAGAGTAAGGTAGCCTACTTTAGCACCAGTCGAGAGTGGCTACAAAATATGTTTGTTTGTGTCTGAGTAAATTCAAGTGAAGGCCTATGTGAAATTACGGTTATGTGTTAAGCTAATGCATTGTCTTGTTTTCTGTCTTTAAATTTCTGTTAAGCTCTTAAATTGGACTATAGGCCTACGTTGCTCACTGCAAGGAAGTTAGACCATCAGTCAAGACATTAGACCATCAGTCAAGGCTCACCTTTTTTCAACTGGATAGCTACAGATATAAAAATATTTTCAAAGAAAATGTAACATCATTTCTGAAACATCTTTCATTTCAGTTCAAGGACAGAAAAAAGTACAGATAAGCAGAGAAACTAAAAAAAAAAATTGTTATAAGTAGGCAAAGTAATACTAAAATAAGACTATAGAGCAATGAAGACAGAATTAGAACTCAGGAGTGTTTTTATTGCTCTTTAGGCATGAAATATAAAATTAAAATTTTTGTTTTTTAAAAACACATTTTTCTAGGGTGGACAGCATGCCTAAGGTTTTAACTGAAGAAATATGTATCTAACAAACCAATGAATAAAATGATATAGTAGGCTATGTGAAAACTATATTTTTAATGCTGTTAAACTAATGTGGTCAAATATTTTAACATATTCTAATACTGTTTAATGCAATGCAAAAACGATGAACCTCACTTCTGACTCCTCAGCCTCTCCTTATCAGCATTCTCAGTTCCACTATCACTGCTGCTAGCATGTGGGAATTTCTCCTATTTCTGGGAGCCATTCATCATCACTGCCACTATTATCCTTACTTGATTCTGATGGAATTTGCTCCACTATCCTGAATGCCTTTCTATTAGGCTACTTGCTGCAAGACACTATGTAACCATAGACTGTGGATGTAACTCATATAATAGAACTAATCTGCACAAAATATTGTTTTTGCTACAAAAACTGCAAGTGTAACATAAATCCATAGATTTACATCCAAAAAAGTTAGTGCACATGAAGTATTTTCAAGAAAAACAAAGTCTCAATAATAGTTAGGCCTAATTGTAGTTGAAATGTAGCCAGTGATGCATAATGTCCAATTTAGTGGACAGATGATTAATCGTAATTTCCTCCCAACATAAAATCAATACTTGGAAAGTTTAACAATTGTATTAGCCTACTCCTTAGTTGTTACTAGATGTTACCAAAATGTTTTTACTTGCAAGCTTCTCCTATATCTGACCGTCCAGCAGCCATCTTGGTTTTGACGAATTTTAGTTGCACTTACAACGGCTTACCAGAGGGTGGCTGAAAGGGTTAAGTTTTCAAACTGCTTATTAATGTAGCTGGTAGCATTACTACCGACTCCCTACCATGTTTTATTTGGACAATAGCAACAAAAGGTTTAGAGTCCCACAAGTTAGACTGCACAGTTTACAGACATGTTTCTTCGCTCAGTCTGTCAAACTGGTCAAAATCACAGTTTTAGTTCTCAGTCATGAAACTGATGAGATTTTCTCTTTTAAGCTCTGTGCAGTTACAGGCTGAGCTCTGAAAGTGAAAACAGAGCAATGAAACTGACAAATGATTGCACTGCAGCAGCTAATTCATAATGTCTGATGTAATACATGTGTGTTTGTTTTGTCAGCTCGCCAATGTTGTGTTTTTTATTGTATAATACAGTAACAAAAACTGACTTGTGCTTGTACTCTCTGTGTTACTAATCATTTTTAATTCTCTGACCTTATCATATATTGTCAATTCTGCCTTCTACCTTATGTGTAAGTACTGGACATGATCATCACGCAAGTTTTACTCGAAATCTGAACAAGGCCCCACGTGTTCCTGCATGTTGTTTGATTTAACTCATTAAAAGGAAAGTCTGCATCCCTTTTGTTTATGTGACAGGAATAAAAACAATGAGAACATTTCTATTTGCTGGAGAAAGTATGATTTTTATTAGGCCTACATAATAAATATTAGAATTTTTGATTTTGCTGAATGCAAATAATAAAAAAAAAAGACGTTCATCAACATCAATAAATACATTATCATCTGAATTATACAAACAAATCAATAATTAGAAAAATACATATTTGAATAAATAGATAAATAAATAAACAGACTTCATGTAAGCAAATAACTTCACACATTCTTAATCTGAAAACAATATAAAGAAGTTCTGTAGAATATCAACCAATCAACTAATAAACTGCTTCATAAATAAATAAATGAATTGATAAATAAATAAGCTTTGTGTAAGCAAATAAATGAACACGTTAATCTGACAGATTTTAGTTGGTGGTGAGTAGAGATGAAACCAGCAGGTCGGCTCTCGTCAGATGGTCTCTAATTTCCTTCCTGACCAGCTCCCAGGCTTCAGCACCGTGGCCCTACAGACAGAAGAATATTATCATTAAACATGATTGGATGGTTGGTAGGTTGGTAGGTAGGGAGGTAAATAGACAGACTTACCATTTGCTCTAGGACGTGGCGTGAGAGTCTCTTGAAATACATGTGCAGCTTCTTGTTCTTCTTTTTGTGGCCGTGGCTCCCAATCTAAATTTTAAAAAGTAAAAATGATTACAAATAGGATATCAGTCAAAGAATATTGATTTTCAAGTTGTTAAGGGAACCAGTGAGGCTTCGTTAATCCACACTGAGACTCACACAGGAGCGAAGGCCGTCAGCCTGCTGGGTTACAACATTGAGAAAGTCCTCCAGTGTCCTCTCCTCCCATGATGCAGAGCTGTGATCCTCCTCAAACAGAGCAGCCGCCTCCTCCAGAATCTGAACTGTGAAGCCAAGTTTCTCCTCAGCCTGGAAGAAGAAATAGAAGAAGAAGAAGAAGAAATAGAAGAAGAAGGTCACATATTACTGTAGCGTTACATTCATTCCACTTTTTGAGTGGAAAACTTAACAACAGATTTAATAATCTCTGAAAAGCATTCATCTCATTAAAGATAAACAAATCAAGTCATGTCTTTGGCTTCTTCTATTTTGCATTTAGACAAAAGTTGAGGATGACTCACTGATGCTTTGGACGCCTGGCTGTACAGATCATAAGGGAAGGCTGCAGTGCTCTTCACTTCAGCATCCCCAGTGGTGTTAGTTGAATTGTTCTCCTGCATCAAACAAATAAACACACAGGTCATGCTCTGAAGTAAAAAGACAGAAATGAATAATATAAATGAATCAACTTACCATCCTGTCTAGTAGCTCCAAAGACTTTTCACTGTGCTGACTGAATTTGTGATCCATCCATCTGCAGCTGAGGGAGGAGGCTGCACTGTACAGACTGAGAAGCAGGCAAACAGAGAAAATCCTGTTGAGCATTTTTAGAAGGTAGAATTTGCCTTTGGAAGGAGCAAATACTGATTTCTCTTGTGTGTTGTGTTGCAGCAGACCTGCAGCACCTCATTTATAGGAGGCAGCTATTTCACTTTCCATACACCTGAGGTAACACGGGATTCCACGGCATTCACTACTGTTCTAATGAGAAAACAAATCTCCTACGATAAAAGCTTAAACAAACCACCGCAAAGCTAGAATATCATGCCCGGGAGCTACATATTAAGAGAGGCTTCTATTGTAATAGCCTATGGAAAAACACATTATACAATACTTTTCAAATACAAAGACAAACACACCTCGTTATTCATAATACTGGAATAGTTTACTTTCGATCCTATCGGAGGTAGCCTATATTATTATTACCTCATAGGCCTAGCGTATATTAAAATTATTGAAATTTTTCAGGCCAAACAGAAAAGTGTAGACACATTGAATTGTCCTTGAATGAAATCTCGCTTACTGAGAATAATTTAGGCTATTTTAACATTTATTTAGGCCTACCTATTACATTTTGTTTGTCTAGAAGACTGTTTCAAATTTTACAGATTTCTGATTATGTCATCTGATTTTAATGCCGGTGTTATGCCGAGTTTTGCATGCACCTCCAAAAACTGCTTTTAAACGCTATAGCCTAATATCCTTTGTGGGGTACATCAATGGTGATAAATTAATCGATGTATATATTTTATGAACGTTTAGAGTCCTTAATAATGTATTACACTCTGTAGAAGAAGCATTCCTTTGATTCAGCAAACATATGTGGTGATTACCGCGTTTGATCAATGAGCACAACAAATTGTCTGAAAAGACCGTAAGAGGTGGATGCATAATTCGGCAGAACAGATGTTGTAGGCTACCTGCCGAGATTTGCATCCACCTCGTTTCTCAGCAGCGTTGCTACCCTCGAGGTGCATGTAATTCTCGGCAGGCATGCAGAATTCCGCACAACACCGGACCATCATTTCGTCTCTTTAGAATTGCATCATAAGTTCTGTGTGGATTCATAATAATCATTAATGAATTGCACTGTGTCCAGTAGGTGCCATGAAAAGGAGAAGCAGAGAGAAAATGAAAGCGCCTCCGTGACTGCGGCCTGTGGTGTGACGCGCGTCCATATGAATGAATGGTGCGTGACATTTCACGTTGTTTTCAGTACATCTCTGCTTAACCGTGAGAACCAGAAAACCTGTGAACTTCCACCTATGAACTTCCATATTACAGCACATTTTCAGCCTGATACTAATAAAATGAAAATGACATAGAATTAGAATCTGGACCTGTAACTCTAACTCATGAGATGGAGGAAGAGGCCTGTAGGTAAACACTTAGATAGGCCTTTTTTTGATCCACAGAGGGGATAGCATCTATTCAGGCCAGATACCCCAGATTTCCTTTCAGTCCCATGGGTTGGTTTTGTGATGTCAATGTTTCAGAAACCATTATAGCAGATGGCATTAAACTATTTTAATTCCTGGAGCTCATTTATTTTTTTACTCCATAAACTGGCCGTTTAAAAGGTCTGCACAGTTGCTGCATTATTAATTTAAAACCTTTGAGGTATTTATAAATAGTCTTCTTCTCTATCCTCTGTATGTATTCTGTTTTACTGCAATCCTACTGATGAATTTCATTTTATCACCCCTGGATAATCATCACCAACATGCAGCATTGCCATTTGGCCTCTGAAAGCTTTGCGGATAATAGATTTATCTATATCTGAGTTTCTTCGTCTGTTATATGGGGATGTTCTATACAAATAATCTGCAACCATGAAATTCCTTGTATGCTTTACTATTCATCACTGTGTGATGATGCACATTTATGAAATATTGTGTCTTTTATCAAAAAGTTGGCTGGTCGTGTAAAAATGTAACACTAGGAGAAATCTTTAGAACTCCTGGTTTGTCTGTATATAACTGTATTTTTTGAAATGCCACCGATTCTTCTGTTTTAGCTTTTAACTTTTAAAACAGGACATTTTTTAAATTACTCTTACACAACTAATATTAGTATTCAGATATAAAAAGATTTTCAAAGATTTTTTAAACATCTTTCAGTTCAGTTCAAGGACAGAATTAAGTACAGATAAACAGAAAGTAAAAATAATAACAATAATTATAAGTAGGCTAAGTAAAACTAAAATAAAGACAGAATTACAAGGCAAGAGAGATATATTGGTGTGATTAGTGGCAGAACAGCCAGCTGGTATAGTTTACATAAACATCAAACCAGACTTATATATATGATTAAGCAATGATACTCAATATATAATGCATTAAAACAGTATAACATACAAACATAATATAGTACAATATAATGTGCTGTCAGTTCAACCTTTATTGTTCTACCAGGGAAAATCTGATTTGCAACAGGGTTAAAACAAACATACAACTATGAGATACAGTATAGGGTGACATGTAGTAGCACATGGTTTGATGCAGCAATATAGTAGTATATATATAATATATAATATATATAATAGAATATAACAGTAGCCTAATTGTACTTTACTTGAGTATTTTGATTTCATGCTACTTTATAGTTCGACATCACTACAATTCAGAGGCAATATGTACTTTTTACTTCACCACATTAATTTGATAACTTTAGTGACTTGTTATTTTACATTTTTTAACAGGTTTAGGGTTGAGCAGGTTGGAGGACCCAAACGCAGGACACAAAGCAGGTTCAGTTCAGAAAGGTTTATTTAAACACAAAGCGAGCACACTTAGAGTGCCTGAGTCCATAATCCAAATTAAGGTGATCTACTGAAAAATCCAAAGAAAGAAGGGAAACTGGATGACACAACGAGACAGAGCAAGGCAGGCTACATACTACAACTCACTGCAATGACCAGAGCAGGACTGATGGGAAACTAGCAAGCACATAGACACACAGGTACTAACGAGCAGGGCGGGAGCAACACAGGTGACAGACATGAGACTAATGAGACACAGGCAGGCAGAGAGAAAGCAGCGGAAAACACTGAGACACTAACGGAAGCAAAACACAAGACAAGACTCTAACTGGAACTCAAAACCCTGAACAGACCAAACAGACCAAGTTACTGAGAAATACAGTCAACTCCACAAGACAGAACAGATTACCACCGAGTGATCATAACCAAATGAATAAATGAAACTGGCAGGGAACATAAACTGACAACAGACAGAAACCAATCATGACAGTAGGTAAACTAATGATAATAACCAGGTAGAAATAGAATCAAACAAGAACTAAGGCAGGCACCAATAATATCAAAATAAGACAGAACGGATCAGAATAATATAAATAAACTAATCCAGAACAGACAGATCATAAATAATACACATAAACTACAGCCAACGGGGAAAACAAACGAGGATTACACAAAATACAGAGCAGAAATAGCCAAAATAAAGCAGACACAGAACAGGGGGTAAATACAAAGACATTAACTAAGACACAGAGCTAAAATGCAAGAATAAACCAAGATCCGAGACAGAACAGTTACTAAGTGAGCTAAACGTGCAAATGAACAAAGAAAACAACAACAAGGTTAAACAGAGGAAACACAAGACAAGGAACAAAACCCCAAAACAGAAAACACGGGCTGAACTATAATAGAGCAGACAAGGTAGACAAGATAACAAAACAACACAAACAGACTCCCCAACAAGACACAGACAGGATCAGACCAACAAGCAAAAACACCCAGAGTAAACTGGACACAGGACAACAGACAGGACTGAACCCAAAACACAGACTAAATAACAGATACCGAACTGACCAACAAACAAACTCACAGAGACCCAAACTAAACAGGGCCGATCAGACAGGCGCTGTGACACATTTACATGTTCAGATTAGTAATATAATATAATCAGTATATAAACACTTATGATGTAATATGGTAGATTAAGATTTATTGATCCCCGGGTGGAAATTCACAATCTACCCACCAGTTAAGTAATTTAAATTAGCTCCACTTCCATCAGCTGCATTATTAAAGTGATGTACACATTAATACCTCAATAATCATAATCCAATATAATAATAACAATAACAATAACAATAACAATAATAATAATAATAATAATAATAATATATTGTTATTATTGTTATTATTATTATGGAATCCGTGCATGGTACAGTTGTCTCTCTTGTTCATCTTTAAGCTAGACTGATTGAATTAAGTTTTCAAACTGCATATTACTGTAAAAGGATGTTGTCTCCAGCTGGTAGCATTACTACAGACTCCCTTCCATGTTTTATTTGGAGAATATCAACCTGCATCTAACAAAACATTTAGAGTCCCACAGGTTAGACTGCACAGAAAACAGACATGTTTCTTCCCTCAGTCCGTCAAACTGGTCAAAATCAGAGTTTCAGTTCTCAGTCATGAAACTGATGAGCTTTTTTCTTTTAAGCTCTGTGCAGTTACAGCAATGAAACTGACAAATGTGGAGGCAGTGACTGAGTAGAGGATAAGAGGGAAGCAGAAAGTCATTGTGGACAACCCCTCTCATCCTCTCTATGCTGAGCTGAGGCAGCTCAGGAGCTCCTTCAACCACAGACTCATCCAGCCCCAAGCCTCAAAGAGCTTTGGAGGCTCATTTGCGCTATCAGCCATCAGGCTCCACAACACCACAGCACCAAACTGACGGACTATTCCTGATTAAATTTCAGACATTTATCTGGTTGTAAATGATTATTATTGATTGTATAGTGTAAATAGCGTGTTACAGTTTTTCTCAGTCGCTTTGGTGCATTTCTCACATCACTATTAACATTTGCACAACAGTTAGTTCAACCTCCGAAACATTTAGTCATTTGTGCACATCATAGTAGCAGCTTCTCATTTCTTCCAACAAATTGCAAATGCTTTTTGACATGCATCAATTGCTTTCATACAACTCTCTGCTGTTTTATAACATTATTATTTCCTTATGTCATATCAGTCAAAATTAACTATACTTGTGAATGCTGAATAGTCATTCCATATAAAACTAATAGTCCTCATTTCATTGCTTGAGTCATTACATACAAAAATGTTGAACTAGTTTTCAAAATCTGTCAAGCAAATTTTACACATTTTTTAAAATCTTCTTTTTCCTGAAAATGTCTCCTAAATTGAGCAATTTCTCTCAGGTGAAACTCGGCTTTCACTGATGAGAAGGGGTGTTTGGAGCATTAGTTGCAACCAATGATAAGCCACTTCTCTACAGTCACTCGTGGAAGAGGGGTGAGGGTACGGGGAGGAAGGGGAAGGGGACAAAACAGGGGAAGAGGAAGAAGAGGCCAAGTACATAGGCGGATTCCTGATGAAATCTGGGCTACAATTGTGGATCATGTTGTC